GAATATTGCTGTCCAGTCATTGAGCTTGAATTATTACTTGACGTTGTTGATGCTAAGGAGAGAAGAGAGAAGAAACAAAAAGAAAAGAAAGATAATGATAATGATAATAAGAAATAGAAATAGAAACAAATAAAATAAAGAAAGAGGGAGAGAGAAAGAGAAAATAAGGGTCTAATTATCAATAAAATGAACAAGACAAACTGAAGAATCGATTAAAAGTTATAACTTATTACGTAAATATCATCAATTATAATTTCCAGACTAATCAATAATTACTATTGTATTATTTAAACTCAAAGGTTGAATATTTTCACCTCACTTATCGACCAATTATAATAATTATTTTACAATGACGACATTTTGTTTATTAATCCCTGAATCTGGAAATGTTGAAATCTTGAAATCTAATTGATTAAATGTCATCACAAACCATGAATAACTAATTGACTAATAGAGCGCGAGTAGAAACAATTAAATCAATTGTCAAACAAGTGACTTACTTAATGATCGTGATAAACCAGGAGATGGAACCTCTTTACTTTGAGATGATTGTTGTTGTTGTTGTTGTTGATCAATTTGAGATGCTGGTGAATAAGGGACAGAAGAAGCCATTGGAGATTGAGTATTGGACATGGAGTTTGACCCTGGGCCAGTTGATGGTTGACCCGGAGTGGGTGGTGGTCTCCATGATGATGAATTACTCTGAGGGTATCCCGAGTTCCCTCCATAATAACCTCCTGGACCAGAAGAGGCTGAAGATGGGGATGGAAATCGAGGATACAAATTCGATGGTTGTTGTTGATCTGCTTTCTGTGAACCATGAATATTATTGTTGCTGCTTCCTGACATATAATAAGGATTGGAAGCGCTGTTGTTGGATGATGATGACGATGGTGTCGATGAGATTATTGAAGATATTGAGTTGATTTTATTACTGCTGTTTGCTGCTGTTGAAGATGATGAGGAGGATGAAGAAGAAGAGTTAAGGTGAGGCATGACCATTTGTTCCAATTGTTGAAGACTATTAATTGGTGTTGATTGATGTGAAGATAAGGGACCATGAGATGTGGATGAAGATGCAGATGATTGGGACTGTGGGACTTGTGAAGATGAAGATGATGATGATGACGATGCATTATGAGACGAAGATGAACCTGGTGGACCAGCTAATCCACTGGATTTTGAACTGTTACCAGGCGAAAGTCCTGGACCACTAGGACTTGTTAATGAACCCGAACTTGGATAACTGCTTGTTGGACCTGACGTTGAAATCGTAGTTGACCCTCGATCTGGTGTCCGTGATGTTGGCGGCATCGGTGACCCTGCAGGCGGTGTTGGTGTTGGTCGACGAGGTGACATACTAGTTAGAGATGCTGCACTGAACGGCGCTCGATACCCTGGACTATTGGGTCCAGTGTTGGGACCTCCTGTCGACCCAGAGCTCATTGTATAAGGTGAAAGCCGACTTGAAGTCTCACTATACCCCTGACTAACACTGTATCCTTGATATTGCTGTCCTGGGTAATTAACTGACCCTGGAGGGACACTACTACTACTAGAACCTGATGAACCAATCATTCCTCCACTTGTTGACCCGCTGCCACCACCACCACTTCCCGTTGGACCAGAACCAGGACCAGGACCAGGACCAGGGTAACCTAAAGATGTGTAATGAGAAGGTGGTCCTGGTTGAGATTGAGGTTGTCGAGGGCCACCATTGTTACCACTGGATGATGAGGATGATGTTGAGTTTCCTTGTGATGCACTTATATTTTGACTATAAGAAGATGTTAAATATGGTGATGGAGGTTCGGATGGAATGAAACTAGTCAATGAGGAACTTTGTGCTCCCACTCTTCCACTGCTAGTACTGTAATATGGTCTCGTGGGTTGAGCTTGTGACTGTGATTGTTGTTGTTGTTGTTGTTGCTGCTGCTGTTGTGATGACTGTTGTTGCTGTTGTTGTTGTTGTGTTGGAGGCTGATGAGGTTGCTTAGTTGGTTGCTGTGAATGCAATGAGCCATAATCACTGGCACCAGGCCCGAAAGGAGATGGAGGTGGTCCTTGCCCACTACGAGAACTACTTGTTTGTCCTGGAGGTCCGAGTGAAGATGGAGGTGGTGGACCCACTCCACTAGTGTTATAACCATAAGGAGGTCGCTGTTGCAAATGACTCATTCCTTGATTGTGCCATAATCTTGTACCAGGTCCTCCTGTTGGTATTGGTCCGTATGATGAAGGATAAGGTCCTGGATATGGACTCCCAGAACCTGGTCCTAGAATCGGTGACAACATCCTTTGATCATTATAACCACTCATTAGACCACGAGTTTGATAACTACTGGAACCAGGTAACGATGTTAAACTGGACTGAGGCACACCGATCCCTCCATTATGTTGGGACATTGGTCCAAGAGATGATGGACCACCAGGACCACTTCCCATTGGAACACCTGGATAACCACTACTAGGATGACCATAACGAGAATCATGCTGAGGATAGTGACCACTTCTCATGGCCGATTGTGAACTTGCTCCAGGAAAACCACTACTTGCATACTGATCATGAACTTTCATCGCATCACCGAGACCACCCAAAGGTACTGAACCTGGAGGCATAGGTAAAGGTGCACCAAAAGGGGGCAAAGATCTTTGAGGTAGCCCATGACCACGAGCACCTGAGAGAATAAAGGGAAAAGTGAAAAGTGAAAAGGAGAAAGTAAAAAATAAAAAATGAATTAAAAATCCCTCGCAAAGTTGACAGAAAACATTTCATTGGATATTTGTTTCTATTTCTATTCTTTGATCCATCAAATGAATGACAGTTGAATATAAATTGAAACCAATTAAATGGATAATAAGCTTTTGTTCTATAGTACAAAAATTCCATTGTAATCCATTCATTTCGTCTAATAGACAAACTCAATAGTCACTCAAATGGTGACATTTAAGAAACAGAAAGAAACTCACCATGTGGAGGAATCATTCCATAACCAGGACTACCTCCGATGGCACTTGACGACATCATTGCGGCCATTGCCGCGTTATTTGGTCCAGGGGGTTGCTCCATGTTCGGGCCTCCGGGATTATTATTTGATGGGTTACCAGTTGGCGCATAACCTGGATGGTATCCTAGAGAATGCAACACATTATTAGATTGTTTTAATCATCATCATAATCATCATCATTATGATATAACAATTGATTGCAACCAATCAGATAATCTACTTACCAAAACCATCACCAAGTAATTGGTAATCGCCCATTGACATAGGGAAATCAATACCTTCAGTTTGATAAACAACTCAACCAGCATACAAACATTTTACACAATAAGACCGGCAATGTAAACATTAGATATTTCACCTTAAATTATCAACTGTTTTTCTTTAAGAACCATGTATCCAATTAAATTATGATAATTAAATTGACAATTTACAATTTACCACAATTTACATTTGATTTGATACCATAAATAATAATAATAATAATAGTAATGATGGTTGAGAATGTAGTGATGTATTAAAAATTGGTAATGCAATAATAACTTGTTCCTTAAGCCTGTAGACAGAAAAACAGAAAGATGGAGAGTGTGTGAGAGAGAGAAACAAAAATTTAGAAAGAGAATGAAGAAAGAGATGCAGAAAGATAGGAAAAGAAAGGAAAAAGAAGAGAGAGAGAGAGAGAAGTGAGAGTAATGAGAAGAGACAAAAACTAAACAATTAATGGGGTTGCCATTCAGTAATATTAATGGAAGATAATGAAGTGAGAATAAGATAGCGAAAAGAGAATTTAAAGAAAATTAGAAAGGAAAAAAGAAAGAGAGATCACAGGAAAGGGAAAGATCAGTGATCCTAAAAATCATTAGCTCCTCCTGTCTAACCACATCTTTCAAATGGACAGAAAGAATTGTAAGCTTAATAATCTAATATGAAAATTTGATTTCTCATAAAATGATAAATTTATTTGCAACAATCATCGATTTGGTTAGCCATCAATTAACTAATTCTTAATGGAAAATAGTTACAAAAAAAGCAACAGAATTTTGCTTCATCTCATTTTGTTCAACTATTCCTTTCCAATTTTACTTACGAAAAACTATAAAAACTATAAAATGGCTTCTAATTATCTCACCGTTGGAAGAGAGAGAGAGAGATGGATAAATGATATGAATATAGAAACTATTCCAGCTCAAAGAGAAAAGAATAAAAACAAATTCTAATAGTAAAAATTAACTGAAAGGTAAGAAGAAGAAAAAAGAACCAACACATTCAGTGTGTGTGTTTAAGTGAAAACATACAAGAGGAGAGAGAAAAAAAAAGAGAATTGCAAACAAAGTTGCCGGTAGATATAATTGAGAGAAGAAAACCTTCATTGATTTTAACCAAAGAAATAGAATTTAACCATATTTAAAATAGAAAAAGAAAATTATTCGGATTAGAAATTGACAAATTCTAATCATATCTTCATCATAATTTTCTCATCTTTTTTCTTATTCCTCTTATTCTTCACCTCTCACTCTCTCCCCTTTACACAACATACACACTTTCAACTCCTCCTCAAGCAAAAAGAGAAAAAGAGAGAGAAAGAGAGAGAGAAAGCAGACAGATGAAGAGAAAAAGGAGAGAAGAAAAAAAAAGAGGAATCATAGAGAAGGAAAACAAAACTTACCTTTTTAAATGTTAACCGAGTAATTGGATTAATCCGATATAAATAATATCAAGTTGTTTACACAATAGAAACACAATGAGATACAATTAAACAATATAATTAATTTAAATTAATTGTCAAAGTAAAATTATCTACAAATTAATAATCTACCAAAGATAAATAATCATGAAAAGGATCAAATCAATCTGAACCTTTTTCCCTCTATCGGTGTAAAGACTAACCAATGGCCATTTTTTCCAAGAAGGTAACGCCATCTGGTGGAAAAGAATTTCCAATTCAAGAACCGGTTGAATTGGAAAAGAAAATTGCTTTTTCTATTTTCATATTTTCCATAATTTCTAATTAATTATTTCCAATCGAATCGATTAAATAGTTGTTTTTTCGTCAATAATTAAGTTCTTTTTGTGGAGAGTGACGAACAAGTTGTTTCTTAAATTGTGATCTTGAAAAAAGAAGTGAGATTTTAATTGTTATTTAAAGAAAATAAAAATTCTACCAACATTGTGACCGCCACCTTAAGCTCCACCTGTGAACAATTAAGTTAACTCATTTTCTGGGATCATTTCAGTGCCTTGTCGGACCTCTAGATGTCTCTAAGCGAGTGGAAATGTCTAAATCAATGTTTAGGTTTTTGTTGAATAGTCACAGTTTTTTTTGAGTCTTCATCTTTTTGGTTAATCATTTTATTCTGGTTTTCATTTTGTTTTATTATTTAATTTATTTCAAATCGCTTATTCTTCTCATTATTTGTTCAAATTTCGTTTATTCTGTAAAAATATATATATATAAAAATCTACAAATGGACCAGATAGATGGTAATTATGAGGAATTTGAAGATTCAGCTTCTCTAGGTCCTCTCAATGAAGGTATTTACAATAGCCTGGAAGAGGAAAGCCATCACTCGGATAATTGTGACTATGAGGAGAAGCATTTTAATCATGAAAAAGATTTGCTTTCTCATAAATTGTGGACATCATTTCAAAATGCTGCCTGCTCAGTTGCCCAATTGTACAAAGGTAATTAATTATTTTCCAACACACATTATGGTATCCACACTGTTTTTCTATTCCATTTTTTTCTATTCTATTCTCTTCTTCCTCTTTTGACTCTTTCCTTTTCCAGTTTGTTGTTATTGTTTTTTACCTTCTCTAAGTCTCTCTTTTTTTTTCTTAGGTCTCTTTCTTTTTCTCCAATAATTTTTATTAGCCATCTTTCATATTTCCATTCAATTCACCTTGATTATTTAATGGAAAATCATCTTCACACAAGCCTTTTCTTATATAAATATATTCATCTCTTTCTATATTTTCATGTGTTTAGATAATAGAGAAACAAGAGAATAGAAAAATTATTTCTTCTCCTCTCTCTTTCTCAATTTGACTTTGAATTTTTAAACCAAATATGTCATGTATATAGTTAACTTGAAATGATGGCCTTGAGTGAATTAGGTGCTACCAGATCAACTCTCTGTATCTTTTATTTATCATTATTATTATTATGTATGTGGTAAGTTGACTGCAAGTTCCGCTTTTCTAGGCAAGCCTCTTACCATTTACATTTCTCTTTTTCTCTTACTTTTCTCTTTCTATTTTTTTCTATTGGCCTCTGATTCTTGAATTACTTGTATACACTTTCCTTTATTTTCTTCATTTGATAACATGTTGATATTTTGCTTTTTTTCTGGTTCAAACAAAATGTCTCTTTGTTTCTACACTTACTTTTCTCTCTCTTTCTCTATCTATTTGACGAGTGGTGGTTATAGGCTTACTTGATGAATTTGATTTCTTTTCTATTTACACTCCATTCTTATTATTTTTGTTTAAAGATGCACATTATCATTAATTTTCTCTTTCTTCCTTCTTGTTATCTCTGTTAATCACTTTTGGACACAAACAGATAGAGAAAGTGGCCTTACATACTGGATACCATTTCAAAATGCAGCAACAAATGTTACCTCATTATATAAAGAATGTATTGAATCAATTAGACGTAATGCTGATATCTATCTTCAAATGGGTATTAAAAAAAGAAATGCTGAGCTACTAGCATGGGCTAAAAAGAGGAAACGTTTCATTCGACGTGATGATTTAATTGGTTTTCTTAAAGGAGAAATAACTAATATAGATCAGCATCACACTAACAATTACCATCACCATCAACATTTTCACTATGCTCACCATAGAGATGGATCATGGAATAAATTACACAGACCTTCACCTACCACCGTGATGATTGAAACAAGCCCAAGTACAACACCCGGTTTTCGAACTCCTTCTTCCCAAACATTAACTAACTGTAATACGATTAATGCTAGTGTTAATAATCTAACTCTTTCTTTTGAGACCGATGATGCTAACCCAGAAGAAGGTGATCTCCAGACTTTTAGGGAAGCACTTGCTATTTCCGGTAAGTAATAGACAACCAATAGACTTCATTTCCTGATAACACATACACACAAAGAAAAAGCAATCAATTTGATCTTGGGTCAGATTAATTGCCTAGAGATTCATTTAATGAATTTTTATTGTAGCTTTTTTAAGACCTTTTTTTGCAAACATTACTTATCCTATGTGTGTATGTGTATGTGATCATATATTTATCTATATAAATCTCTCTCTCTAACCTTGATTGTTTATTGAATCATGCTAATCACAGTTTTCTTTTCTATCTCTTTAACCAGTTGCTGGACTTCGTAACAGTCAACAATCAGCTATAGGTCCCGTTGATTATATTAATACGTCAACAAATCGTCGGAACAGCCAGACCAAGACTACTACCACCACCACCACCACTACTACCACCACCCTCCTTTCCACACCCAATTTGGAAGCAGCTTCAGCGACCGAATTGAGTGAATTTATTTCTAATGAATACTCACGTCATGTTGAATCGCGAAAAAGAGTCAACCCATCCCAAGATGTCACCATGGATTCACCAACCCATAAACGGTCACGATTACTTTGATCAATTGAGGGGGGACAATGAGAGAAAAGAACAAAAAATCTGAGGAAATAAAAGCAAAAAAGAGAAAAACAATCTAAATGGTTGGATGAAAATCTGCATCAACCAAAATATTAATTCTACACATCAGAGAAAAGATGAAAACAACTCTAATCGAAGTGTATACAATATCCAAACAGATCGAATATCCGGATGATTTATTATTATTATTATTATTGTCGAATAAAATAATTAAATGGCCAATTGATTAAAATCTTAAAATTGGCCAAAGAAGGAAGGAGAAGAAAAAAACGCAGAGAATAACAAATCAACTTGGAGAATCTATGTCAACCTCTTGAAGAAAGAGAGCAAATATAAAATCCATTTACCTTTGTTCTCAAACAGAGTAAATTTGCTTCTTCCAAGAGATAATCTAAATCACAAAGCCATTTACTGAATTTTTTGTTTGTAATAATCAACTAATTGTACTCCATCAAAGGAATGAAAAAACAAATCGAAATCAATTTACATACAAATCCAAAACAAATCACAAGTTTTTATTGTCATATTAAAAAAAAGCAAATTGTAAGACAAAAATTATAGATCCATGTCAATCATTTTTGTAAATACACCGAATTAGTATCAAAACTAATTAACGTAAATTTGATCTAAATTTTAATTCTAATTGTGACCAAAAAAAATGAATCCGAAAGAGTCGATAGTCTGTTTGAAGAATCAACAACAATTAACATTGACAGCCCAATGAACAGAATATATTAATTGTTGCCTTGGTGATTAGTTAACTAATCAAATGTCTCAATTAATCTAATTAGCTGATCTGAAATAACTTGATTAACAATCACCGGTTTACAATTGAGTTGATGATTTTGGTTGAAAATTGAGATTTAATTTGAGAGAAAAAGGAAAACCTTGGAAATTGATTTACCAAAAAAAAAGTAAATCATCAACCTTAATTGTAATAAGAAGGACAATTAAAATAATATTAAACCAATTACAGTGATTAAATCAGCGAATCTTATCTTAACTATTAATAGAAAAGATCAAGTTGTATTAAGAAATCAATGATAATGATATAAGAATCTTTTTCCTCAATTGATCAATTGGAAAAAAGAAAAACAAAATTAACCAACAATCAAATTCATTGATTCAATTTTTTCATCTCTTTTCCTTTAACATGAATGTCTAACTGTTGTTAATTGTTGTAAAAAGCTCTTATTAACTACATTTAAATGTTAAATTGTCTCTGATAGAGATTGATTATCTTGATTAATCATTTTAATTCTTAACCAACAGATGATCCACTTTTTTTCTTGTCTATTTCGTTTTATCTTCTCTGTCTTTTTTTCTCGTCATTTTTTTTCTCACATCAACTTCTCCCTCACATACAAACTCTCTCACTCTCACTCACTATCTGTTTAAATATTATTCTGATTAACGGGTTTACCTTAATCATCATCATCAACTCAATCATTTTATTGAGTTACAGTTAAACCATCAATGTCAACAACAATCATTGTTAAGTGATATCAACCATCATCAACAATTAGAATCTTAAATTGTTACAAACAAACGAAAACAACTTAATTGTTTTTTATTTCTCTCATTGTTGTTAATTGTTACCACGTTAATTAAAACGTTTTCTTTCAAAATGAATCTAGTAGGAAGTGGATTTTGGAAGACTTTTAATTTTAAATCAATGAAAAACTCGAAAAGTTCAACTGTTAAATCAACTACAACCACCGATGATACAATTGCAGTGATTAAGAAGGAATATAAAAAAGCCTCGAAAGACAATTGTAAATCAAGTGAACAATTAAAATCTCCTTTATTGAAGACATTCAAGTCTAATAATAAACATGGTTCGTTTCGTGAGTCTACCAAAGGAGGTGGAAAAGGAGTGGGAGTGGGTAAGGTTATGATCCACGGTGGGAATAATCAAATTGGTGGTTCCAAAATCATCTCGACTCCTCCGCCTCCCTCATCATCATCATCTTTGTCAAAATGCAATCGTGATTCATTTACTATGGTTACAAATTTACGTCGAGCTGCTTCAGTCCCATTGATGATTAATCCTTCTCGTAATAACAATTTGATCAATCAAAAGAATGTGAAACAATTAGTTAATTCAACGGCCACAGTGTCAACAGTTAATCAACTTGATAATACTGAAACAATGTTCCAATATTTTGATACCAATCGAAGTGGTTATATTAGTGAAGATGAATTAATTGAAATGATGGGTTCACTTGGTGAACCCATTGACCGAATTGAAGCTAAATTAATGATTAAAGAAGCTGATGTTAATCATGATGGTAAAATTGATTATCCTGAATTCAGGAATTTAATTAATCGTTTACCTCTCATCTTTAGTTCATCAAGTTCAATGTCACTTCGAGAAGCATTTAACATCTTTGATAAAGACGCCGATGGTTATGTTAATATGGAAGAAGTTAAATTAATTGCGACCTCAATTGGAATTGATTTAAGTGATAAAAGTATTGATTTTATTAGAAATCAATTGCAACAATCAACTGCCTCTTCATCATCATCACTATCATCGCCATCACCATCACCATCATCATCTAAACCCAATAGTAAAAATAATCTAAGTGATAATGTGAAAATTAACTTTGACCAATTGAAGAAATTTTTTGATTCAATTGGTAAAAAGTAATTGAAAGATAATTAATTGGATTAATTAACAAAACCAAAGACATTTACCTATCTCTCTTTGTTTATCTTTAATCATCGTCTTCAACTGACAATCAACAAATCAACGAAATCGTCAACATCATTATCATCATCATTGGAATGATTATTTTTCTTTCTATCTCTTCCTGTTATTCATTTTCTAAATCATGTTAATCAACCTCTTCAATGATCAATAGTTAATTATAATTACAATATATTATCATGATCATTTTTAGTGTCACAGTTTCCTCAACATCAACACAACAAGAAGAAAAAAAATCAACTAATTACAACAATTAAACGAGTTAACTTTTCCTCTATGATTGATTGAGATATCGATAAATCAACCACTGATTCAGTTTGAAAGCAAATGAAAACAACAACAACAACAATTAACAATAAAATGATTAAAATACAATGAAAGTAAAAATAGAAAACCAAATTTACTGGAAAACATTAAAATTACAAGAAAATCAATGATTTTCATTGGACCACAAGTGAATCAGTAAATCGTTATGACCACAATTAGGAAGATCCATCAAGCTAATTTAATAGCCAAAGGAAATCCTTTGTAAATATATTCATCATTAACACAATTAGCACCAATTAAACTCCCTAATCACATCTCTCTCTCTCTCTAATCATCGAGTCTTTTGTTTACCTTTATTTTTCCTTCCACTTAAATTGTTACCTTAATAACTTTGTATCATTTGTTATTAGAACTAATTGCAATTTCGAATATCCTTAATAACGAATCATTTTCTCTAATTTTCTAAATTCGTGTATTTCTTCATTATGTAATCATCTTTTTCTCTTCCTTATCTTCATCGTTCTCATCATAATCATCATATTGATTTCCCTTGATCTCGATTAATTTTATCTAACTTCTTGTTTGTGCCTTTATCTGGTTTCCTTTTATTGATATTGATGGGAATTTACAGAAGACGAAGAGGATAATCATTATCTTGTTGATAATGATGATTATGATGAAGATGAGGAGGATGATGAAGACGAAGAGGACGAAGGACGATTAAAAAACTAAGCAATAATAACGATCATATCAGCGATCTTCAATTATCTATTAATAGATCAACTTGTCTTTAGAAATCATTGATTTATTATATTTACAAGAAGCTTTTTTCCTCAATTGATCAAAATTACGATTAATTGATTTAAAATTATTATATTTTCCTCTCTTTCAATGGTCACAATTTATGTATATTATGATATAATATTAAATTACTCAACTGCTTAATTGTTATCAAGGAAAATTTCACTCCAAATGTTAACGTTGATCAAATTTTCTTACAAATTAAAAGATTATGATTGATAAATGAAATAAACCAAAGTAGAAAATAATTTTTATTTTTCATTCCATTTTTCTGATGATTTATGGTTAATTATTGTAATTGTTTCATTTAGATTGAAATTGTTATTGATTTTAGAAAGAAATTACAAAAATAAACGGAACAATTTAGGTTCGCTTAGTTAATTTTTTGCCATTGTGGTTAAATTTAATTTTGATCTGTGGATTTTATCAATTGAATGATTTTCATGTTGAGATGTTTAAGATTAATTGGATGGAGTAATTTTCTTAAGGTAACTATTGAATCCTCGCTGTTTGAATTGCAGCAATTTAGCCAATGGATCCTCCGATTTCAAGATTCCGCTTCCGACAATTATAATATCCGCTCCTCGGTTGATAACTGCTTCTTCTGGTGACACGTATTGTTGTCCCAAAGCACCACAATTAACATCGATATTCACACCAGGAGTGAACTGAATGAAACCAGGATCATTGGTAACAGGTGATTGACTAATGAAACCTGAGACAAAATTGGGAAATTTATCACCAATTTGACGACAATTTTCAATCTCATCCAATGAGCTTCCTTTGGATGACATTTTCGCGATCAACAAACAACCTCTTGGATCACCAGACGAATTGACACCTTTCATCAAAGCCTCAATCGCTCCAGGTCCAGAGATAACATGAGCAGTAATTAAATCAGCCCAATCTTGAATTCTAAAAATGCCTCCAACGTATAATTGTTGATTAGTTGAACCAATGTCGGCAAACTTAAAATCTTCAAATACAAGGAACGAGTGTTTCTCTTTCAATCTTCCAATACCCTCAGTAAATTGTTGATAATCAAAGTCTTCAATAATGCACACGTGTAATTTAAGAGCCACAATATGAGGTCCAAATCGATCGGCAATGTCCAGAATATCAGCTGATCGAGTCAAATCAACGGCCAAGCAAAGGTTTGACTTTTTAACTCGCATCAATTGTAACAAACACTTGTTGACCTTATTCATTGTTTTACTAATCCGACTCTCGAAATCCATCATCTGGAGCTTGATGAACTTATTTCAATGAAAACGATTGCAATTAACTTAGTAAACAGTAAAAATTAAATTACGATTTAAATGATTTGAAAGTCAATCAACAGACAACAACAACAACATCAACATGGTTTCCCTGTTGCTTAGTAACTTGTTGATTGATGATAATCAGTTTGTTTACATTTCGTCTTAACAATTAACTAAACAACGCCTCTTGTTAAAAGGTTTCAATTGTCAATTAATTTCACCAATAATCTCCATTGATGATAGTTAATTAGTTATTCTAATCATGGTTCAATTAAATGTTCTCAAATTTTCCAATTTCTATTATAATCATTACTTTATTTTTCTTTCATCTTTGGTTTCACTTTTTTCTTTCACTTTTTCTTCATCTTCAGTCTCATCATCTTACTCTTCTCTCTCATATGATCCATTATCTTCATCGTCATCATCATTGTCTTCATCTTTGACATCATCTTCTTCAAATGGTTGGAATCTAAGTACAACAATCAATCCAAATTGTGATGATTATCAGTCTTGCACCAGACTAACCAGTAAACCCGATGTGATTTATACCCAATCAAGTGATGCAAAAAATTCAATTCACTTTATCACCTCAACTTTGGGAGGTTTTCCTGGTTTATTAATTACCCGAACCGAATCACCTGAGGCCTTGAAAATTAATTGGGACTCATTATTAGGCGATTGTAAAGGAAGCTTTGATTTCTCTGTTCTTCCTCAAGATTCAATTGGTATTCTGTTGTTGAGCTTTTTTGATTTTGACCATAAAGATATTCACTGGACACTGGGAAATAATTCACACGCTAATTGTGACTCATCAAAATGCTCATTTAATTATAACGCTGATTCTATTGAAAAGAATGAAATCATTTCCATTGGTCTTAATATCGCCAATGTCCAATCTTCATTCAAGGATTTCCCTCATCTCCAATTCACACCCTCGTCTATGCACATCGATCTTGAAATGTTCAATTTGGATAAAAGTCGAATTGGTCCACAGGCTGGAGGAATTAAATTGTTAATTGTTACATCGGGAAAAATTTTCACCGAGAAACTTGATCAAAGTATCGACGATGAACATTCACCGGGCATATTTACGGTAATCAGCTAATCTAATTGTTCCCTTAAACTGTTATTCAAGATTAGTTTGTTTTTCCAATCGATTATTATTATTTTATCGATTATGATAATTTTAAAATGACTCATGGATGATTAATTGATTTTCTTTCTTTTGTTTTAATTGTATCATAGAAAAGGAGTTTCATTTTCTCGAAGCAAAATTCAACTTCGTCAACTTCGTATATTCAATGGAAACCAATTGCCTACAAATCAAAAGAACGAGTTATGTCCAAAACTTTGGCAATCGATTCATCAACTTTAACTCAAACTGATTTACCGAAATTTAATTTACCTCTTTATTGTTTCTATCAACAATCAACTGTTGATCTTTCGGTTAACTTGTTGAATGTCTCATTTATTGAAGACTCTGATTCCTCGGATCAAAAGATTGACCTCATCGCTTGGACTCTTGTTTTTGGCCTTAATTCACCAGCTGAAGATAAATTATCTTTATTTATACAATTAATGATATTCGTTGGTGTTGGATTGTCATTAATTGTCATGTTTATCAGTTTAACTTACGTAGCAATCAAAAAATGGCAAAAGTCCAGAGCTCAAAGAGAATCTGGTCTAATTAATGAAGTTTTTCTCGATTATTGAGTGAGAAAAATCACCAATTAAACAAGTGATCAAATTTAATCTACTACAATCAAATTAATTACTAATCAATGAAAACAAATTTTCCTTCCGAACCCCAAGCAAAACCAAACAAACGATAAAATAGGATTTCGTACAATTTTAATTAAAGACTACTAAATATTTTTAATAAAGATTTTCCAATCATATTAATCGACAATCTAATTATAACAATTTAAAGTTGATTCCAAATTGAATAATCAAAAAACCCGAGAATCTCAAATAGTTAAATTCTCTGTCAAGAGATGGCGCCTGTTTCGAGGAAAATATCGGCGCCATGATGAGTGAAAATAATTTCAATTCCATTTATTTAATCAATTAACCAAGATAGAAATTTAATTTAAATTAATTAACAGTTGTGATTAACGATATTAATTTACCTGTGAATAAATAATTGTATTTGATTGGAGAAAAGGTAAGTCTGATGGTGAAAAGAATTTGAAATTTTCTATTGTTACTCAATTCGCTGTAAAGATAAGTGAAAATAGACAAAAATTGAAAAGCTATTTTCAGTTGATTGAAATTTTCTCTTTGACCAAATTTTTTTCTGTTTATAATTAATTAGTTAATTTAATTGTATCTAATCTTTTTTCTTACAATTTTTTTGATGTATTCTTACTGTGTTTTAGGCTCACGACTGTTAAATACTATAAATCTCCTCAAATCTACATCTGTAACTTTAACAAAATGGATCCCAATCAACAGCAATCACAACAACAACAACCACCACCACCAACACCAACACTACCACAATCTCAACAATCACAACCTCCATTGAACATAATTATCAGTCTAGAAAATTGTATTCTACCGGAATCTAAATTCACCTGTACACCATCATCTTTAGACGGTTTAGACTCACAATATGAATACGAATTAAGAATATTGGGAACGGAATTAGTTCAAACCTCTGGTATACTTTTAAAATTACCTCAAGTGGCCATGGCCACGGGACAAGTATTATTTCAACGTTTTTATTATTCTAAATCTTTCGTGAGGCATAAAATGGAAATGACTGCCATGGCGTGTATATTATTGGCCTCAAAGATTGAAGAAGCACCAAGACGAATACGTGATGTTGTAAATGTTTTTAACCACATGAGACAAGTAAGAGCTGGTTTAACACCTCAACCAATTCTACTGGATCAAAACTATATTAATTTAAAAGCTAAAATTATTAGAGCGGAGAGACAATTGCTCAAAGAATTGGGCTTCTGTGTTCACGTTAAACATCCTCATAAGTTTATTGTTACTTTACTTCAAGTACTAGATTTAAAAGGTAATAAACAGCTCATGCAAACCTCCTGGAACTATATGAACGATAGCCTGAGGACAGATGTATTTCTAAGGTGGTTACCCGAGACCATAGCATGTGCTTGTATCTATTTAAGTGCTAATCTATTGCGAGTAAGTATCATTTTCCCATTTTCTTTCCAATTTACCTTAGCACGTGGATTTACAATTGGAATTGTTTCATCCTCATCAATTCCAGTCACTCCTTGTTGCTAGATTAATCTGCTCATTGTAACTCCTTCCTATTTCCGTAATTAGGGAGATTTAAAATGTATCTACATTTTTCTTCAAATTCTCTTATATTTGATGACTAATTTTTTCTTTTTTTACATTTTTTCTTTCCTTATTTAATAGATTCCTTTACCATCAAATCCAGCTTGGTATGAGTTATTTGATGCATCAGAAGCTGATCTAGAGTCCATATGTACAACTATTCTTAAACTTTATACCCAAAAGAAACCAGATCAAGCTAAACTCGAGGGAATTGTTGATTCTTTACGTAAACAATGGGAAAATTCACAAAAAACTATTGAAAAGAAAAATGAACCAGGAGGTAGTGGAACATTAGGAGATATTAAAAATGGAGAAATTGAAAATTCTGAGACAATTCGTGATGATGAGAAAACAAATGAACCCGATTTACAAGTAACAACAAATAGTCCAAAAGCCAATAAGGATGTTTTTGAACGTCTCAAGAAAAGGTCACCTTCTTATGAATCTTCATCATCGCCAAAACATGAGGTTAATAAGGATCGATCAACTCTTAAAACTCGTGATAATATTTCAAGGTACCGTGATTCTTATGACAATTCAAAAAGTCGCCGATCACCTTCCCGAGATAATAACACCAATTCTCACAGTAAAAGTTACTCCAGGTCAAAAGAACGAAGTAAAGATTATGATGAGTTTAAATCTCATAAGAAACATAAAGAAGATAAAGATTATTATTATAGTAGCAGTAAAGATCATTATTCAAGTAAAGAATCGAAATACTATGTTAAAGAAAAAAGTCGAAAACATAGTCGCCATTCTAATCGAGATCGTGATGCCCATTGATGACAATTAACATCCAAGAAGAAAACAACAACAAAAATATCAAAAGCGAGAAAGCGAGAAAGAGATAATGTTTATATGTATAAAAAAACCAAAATTATCAGAGACAAAAATACACAACGTAAAGAAAATTATATATCAATTGTAAGTAAAATAATTTTGTACGTAAACAAACAAAAAATTGTCATCTTTTCCATTGATTAATTTTCACCCCAACAAAATTTTCCTTAAAAATCAACTGAAAGTAGCAAGAAAAAGGAGATTTATAATTAACTGTGAATAGACTCAATTCATTGTAATCAGAAAATATGAAGAAATCAATCCAAATGTTACTCTAAATGATTATCGGTTAATTTTAACTCTTTTTTTTTGGTTAAACGTTAAATTATGATTAAGTCTATTAATATAATGACAAACCAAAGGGCGATAAACTTTGTCCATTTTGGGTCATTCAATTTTACGAAAAAAAAAAACAAACGAAAACCACTAAATCATCATTAGAAATGACCATAAAAATAAAACCTATTAAGAGAGAGAATTAATTTCTTCATAATGAAATTAATTAAAAATGATTTTTGTTTCAATATTGTGAAGATAAATTTCTCTCTTGATTGTAACTCTATCGACGGGGTGGAAATGGATTCTTTTTTGGGTATGACCTGGGAGAAGGGAATAACCAGATTCCGTTATTTCTGTTGAATTTTCTCTCTCTCATCAGGCTTATCATCTTTATCATCATTACCCTCCTTTGTTAGTTGAATGTTCATAAGACCAGTTTTCAGGTCACAAATAGGTTGATAACTATCATCGTCATCAATGTTTAGGTTCACAGTTTCATCTTGTTACAAAAGCAAATAAGTTGTGATAATCATTGGAAATCTTTATCAAAAATGTACGTGTAACAATTAAACATTTTTTAATTAGTTTCTTGTTTCTTGTTTTCTTCTCCTTTAGATTTAATTGTTTACTTCTTTTCTCTTCAGCTTCTTCCTGGAATCAGTTTTTTTTTTCAATCGTGGAAAAGGTTAATCAACACAAATGATCGGACGAATTGCCTTTTGCTCTTTGGTTCTTTGCAGCCTCCAATGGTCACAATTAGCTGATTCATTAGCTGTTAGAATAACTCATAAAGTTAAATTCGATGTCTCAATTGGAGGTCGTCAAGCAGGAACCATAACCTTAGGATTATTTGGTGACGTTGCACCGAAAACGGTTAAAAATTTTGTGACCTTTGCTGGTAGAGGACACAATGGTTATGGTTATCGAGGAAGCATTTTCCACCGAGTGATCGCCAATTTTATGATACAGGGTGGAGATGTTACCAATCATGATGGAACCGGAGGTTTATCAATCTATGGACAAACTTTCCCAGATGAAAATTTCCTCGTTCAACACAAAGAACCCGGTATGTTATCGATGGCCAATGCAGGTAAAGACACCAACGGAAGTCAATTCTTCATCACCACGGTACCTGCTCGTTGGTTAGATAACAAACACACTGTTTTCGGTAAAGTGATCGCTGGAATGGACGTAGTTCGAGCAATTGAACGTCTACAAACCAAAGAAAACGATATTCCAGTACAAGCAGTTATCATTGAGAACTCAGTTGTTGAAGAGGTTAACCAATTCATCAATTTACGCCAATGATAAAGCTGATTATTTTCTTTTATTCAATCAACCCAAATCACAATCAATCAAATTATTCCACAAACAATTAATCTATTAATTTGCTATTCTCAATCAATTGAACAACAAAAGTCGAAAAAAAAATTAAAATCACAACCAGAGAAACTCAAAAGAAAACGTGATCACAAATTGTCAAAACTAATTGTTAAATTGTCTATTTTTTTAATTGTAATTTAAATTTTCTTCATGGACAAAGCTATTTAAAGCTAATTGTCTTTTCTTTTCCAATTAATAAATTGTCCCAATCGAGAGCCCATGTTGGATGTGGCGCCTTTTTCTATATCTTTTTGTTGTTCATTCATTTGTTTCCTTTCAATTGGGTCAAGTCACATTGTGAATACAATTTGTTTATCTTTTTGTATACAATTTTTTTGCTCTTTCTCTCGTTTTTTTTATAATTAATTTAATTAATTAACTAATAACCTTCCTGTTGATTGGATGGTGAATAAGTGATAACTGTTATGACGACTCCAATTTTGAATCAATCTAAGTCTGACAACAATGGTGACCAGAAACAAAAGTACCGAAGCTTAAAGAAAAGACTTAAGGTTTTGATTTATGTAAGTGTTTTTGTTATTTTTTTCTTGTGTTGATTTAATTGTTTTCGAATAATTTGTTGTTAATGACAAATTTTCGATTTGACAAAATTTAAATAATTGTGTTTCCCTTTGAGTTTTGTGGTTCTTTTTCATTGGTGTGTCTCTTTTGCTTTTTTATGTTTTCTCTTTTTAAAGGAAAATGAGTGTTTTCAAGAAGAACTGAGAAAATGTCAAAAGGAACTGATTGCTATCAAATGTGATGAATATTTTCTACTGGATAAATTATTGAAATATGAAGATATTCAATCAACTTCTTCCTCTGACTCAGATGCTACAGATTACTCAGAATCTGAGATTGATGTTAAACCCTTGAAGCCAAAGTCTACAGCCAAAAGGTTTGTTTTCCCGGTATTTTTTTCCTTTGTTATTGTCTCATAAGATGATGGCTTAAATTGATTTTTCTCATGCTAAACGATGATTAGCTTCGTTGTTGGTAAAATCTTTGATAATTTCAATCATTTTTATCATTCAATTTCAAAACTCTGCTAAATTAATGACAATTTAATGGTTACCCTTTAGTCTCAGAAAAATTTTCTTTTTTAGATTTTTATCCTATAATATATTGTATCTAATATTTTTTTTTCTATTCTTTTGTTCATTTGACTACAGATTAAAGACAAATAATGGAAGTATCTCTCAAAACACTGAATCTACTCCATCGCCTGGTGGCCCCTTGAAACGCAAGAAAACCAAAAGTAAAGGAACAATTCCCATTGCATCGCAAAAATCGTTGATTACTTATGGAGCTTCTCATCGTAATAAAGATGGAATCAGTCGTGGTAAGAAAGCCAATGAAAGCGAATCAACTTCATCAACATCTTCCACTGTTACTCCAGAAACACCTATGGTTGTTACACAAATGATTCCAACAACCACCCAAACTGTTACAGGTCCATCATCATCCTCCTCATCATCATCATCAGGATTTTTGAATATCAATTCATTGGTACCAAATTTGTCTGTTCCCGTCTCCATAGGCAATAGTTTTTACATTGCCACCACTCCATCTACTCCATGTACCACAGTACCAACTAAATCATCCGCTACATGTAATCAATCATCTCTACTTATGGCAGAATCGATAACATCTTCAACAACCGGACCAACAGCAAGTCTTTTAAGGCCAAACTTAAAAGTAACTACAACACCATCATCGTCAATTTCATCTACAACAGCAAATTCAATGCTCAAATTTGCACCATTAATTCAAACAACCAAATTACCATCAATTTTATCTGCATCTAAGTCATCAGGATTATCTTTATCTGTACCATTGAAACCTTCATCTTCACCAATGTCAACTGGTAATTTAAAATTTTCCACAAAATCAGCAACAGCTACAAAACTATCCACACCAACGTCATCATTACACACACAACAACAACAACAACAACAACCACTACCATCATTATCATTATCATCGCCATCATCATCAACAGTATCAACCTCTACAACAATACCAGTTTCAACTGGGACAATTAGTACAATACCATTCACTTGTAAACTGGAATCAAAATCAATAAGTCAAACAAGTAAATCGACAAACCAATTAACCGAATCTACTAAAACAGTTGTAGCCACCAAACCAACGATGTCACCAATGGTAACCTGTAAAACAGAATCAATGCCTTTAATCCGCACAGCTAAAATCCCATCTATTTTATTAATCTCCTCGACATCGGCATCTTCATCTTTACCATCGACATTAACTGTAGCTAAAACAGCAAATTCCAAGACAACAACTTCAACATTTACGCTTCAAACGGAATCAAAATCTTCGATACGAACGTCAAATAAAACTCCATCCATTTTACTCGCATCCAAGATTTCGGGATCATCCTCATCTTCATCCTCATCTTCATTGTCTCTACCAATATCATCTTCTTTCTCAACCATTACAACCTTAGCTCCAACAACAACAAAGGTTTCTTCATCTTTATCATCAACAACATCAACCACGACTACACCAAAATCTGAATCAAATTTAACTTCAGGCTGGTATTTATTGACCCAACCAATAAACACTTCTGAAAGTCCATCCATTTTATCAACACAAGAGGCTACAAACGGAGGTCATTTTACACTTGAAGAGATTGAGAGACACTTTGAATCACGACCAATTCAATCATCACTTTTATTACCTGAGAAAACACCATTAACTTTACCAAGTGAATTATTTAGTAATGATTAACTTAATCAACAATCAATCTCTTTTTCTTTGTTTATCTCTCTTTCTCTCTCTCTCTCTCTCTCTCTCTTTTCTCACTCATAAAGGACAAGACGGAAAAAATCTATTTGTAATTGTAAAAGCTACATTTATTATCGTGTAAAACTTATAGTAAATATGTGATATATTAATTATTCGTCTTTCAATTTCTATATTCTATCAATAAAAACAAAATTAATTAAAACGAATTTATCATGCGCCCGAGGCTAATGTTTCAAACATTGAACTTCAATGATTGAACTCAATTTGGATATGGAGACCATTTCGGACTCTCAACTAGTCTTTCAGTTTATTTAGTTTCTCAACAATGGAATCGATTTTAATTTATTCATTTTTTCCGAGATTGATTGTCCCAATCGTCCCTCCAATAGTTTCGTGTATCTTTGAAGTGTGTAAGACAATCAGCTATTGCTCTATTCTAAGGAAAAACATGATTAAAAGAGAAAACAAAAATTCTCAAACAAATTGTCTAATTTGAGTATTTATATTAGTTTAATTAGTTTAATTTGTTCATCATATCAGTTGTCAGTTTAATTGACACATCACAACTTACAGATCGCATCAAACTGTCCATTGATGAACCAAATTTCTGCAGCAAATATGAAATTCATTCTTCATTTGATAAATAAATCTTCTGAAACCATCATTCAAAAAAATAATCACAAGAAATTTAGATTTTTTTAATCCAAAATTGCGATTCACGAAAATCTCATCAGAATTTTTCACGAATTTGAAATTGTAAATTCTAATTGTTTACTCACTAGATGGCGATGGAAAAGCTTCAATTTGATTGATCGTTTCTCTTACAATCCGATAGGCGAATCTCATCTGGACTGTTTGGAGAAATCATTTTTCTTAATTAATTGTAATTCTTTTTGTATTGTTTTTTAATCGTTAATCAACAATTTAATTTAATCTCCAACTAATATACTAATTGATTGTATGGTCAACATCAGGATAGGTAAGTTAACTTCTTTTTTACTATGTTCGTTTATTCTTAAAGATATTTATTCTCTGTCTTATTTTTTTTCTTTCCTTTCACTGTTGAGATTTTCTTTTCCTTTTCTCTCTGTGATATTTATGGGAGTGAATTTATGTCTGATTATTGTTAAAATGTTCAACTAATCATTTCATGTCTATCGTTGAATGATGTTGATTAGATTGTTCATCTTGTAGATAATTATCAATAATATTCTCTCTTTGATAAAATTATTCTTTTCTCTTTTCCCTATTGAAGTGACAGTTTGTTGATCTATTTGATTCTCTTTTTGTTGACATTTTGATTTTCACCTATTCTCTCATTTATATCTCTTTCTTTTTCTGAATTCTAATTCAATATTTGATATTTGTTCTCTCTCTCTCTCTCTCTCCTTCTTGCATCATCTCATGTTTATATTTAATTCTTTCCTTGTACAATTTTGATTAATTAGTTGAGTTGAGAAAAAGTATCTTGATGTTCCAATGATATAATCACTTGTTTACCAAATGAAACTTAACGAGCCATTACCGATGATGAATCTCCAATCTTCATACTACTTGTCATGACTGGTTCATCATAAATCTTATTTTCCTCTCTTACTCAATCCATTCTAATTGGATAATTAGTTAGATTAATTGATAGTTTTTGGTCTGTCTGTCAGATTTCAAAATTTCCCCTAATCAGCATGAGAGAGAGATTAACTTTTTAATATATTATTTTCATTTTCTTTTTTTAATTTAAAGTTACCGCAGTCAAATCTCTCTCTCTTTTTTTGCCTGTTCTTTTTTTCAGTCCAGGGCTCAGACTAAATTACAATTATACACATCAAGCAACGCAAACTCTCAACTCTATCAGTGATTCAGTGTATTCCCACCTCAAAATCCCTCACTTTGGGTCATATTGTCTTCTCTTAAATCCAATATCATATATGTGATTGAACAAAAATGCTCCATCAAGAGTCGATATAAATTTCATTTAGTCAAATAATTTCAACAGTCGAAACATCAATTTTTCTCTCCCTAATCACATTGAAACATATTCTCAATGTTTACTTTTTTTCTGTGTTGTGATTTGCTTATTTAAAAGACACACATTTAGGGTGTGTTTATATTTTTGTTGTTATTTTGCTGTTTGTCGGTTATATGTTTTCACTTGATGTTAATAAACCAACTTCATGATACCCTTTTCAGTGATTCTTGTTTTTGTTAATTATAATTAACTTGTCTCCCACGTCACCATCAATTTAATTTAAATTATATATTTAGTATTATTCTTTTCGTTTTTAACTTTATCCTTTTTTCTTCCTCCTTTTTTATTCATCTATTTTACTTATTCTCTTCTAATTTTATATATAAATATTATTCTCTATTTTCTATCTCATATCTTTTTTACAACACTTCCTTTTTTATATTTTCTCCCCTTTCTCTGTCTCTCTGTGTGTGTTTTCCTTTTCCTCTCTATTCTGGTTTTCTTTCTTGTTCTTTCATCTTATTTTACTTTTATTTCCATGAAGATAGAGGGTTCAATTCAGAGCCGACCTCTTCCTGATATTCCTGGTACCAGAGAAGATAATCCATCCATCTTATCATCATTGGTCGGTCTTACTAACATGGGTAGTTCATCAATCTCATTTCATTCCTATCACCAGCGATTGTCAAAGGAAAGTTTAAATCAAAGTCCAGTTGAAGAAGAAGACGATCCACAACTTTTTGTTGCTCTCTATGAATTCCAATCAGGAGGAGAATATCAATTATCTGTTTTAAAAGGTGAACAAATTCGTGTTCTCTCATATAATCGGACTGGCGAATGGTGTGAAGCTCAATCTCGTTCTGGTAAAATTGGCTGGGTACCGGCTAATTATATTACCCCAATCCATGGACTTGATAAACATCCATGGTACCATGGGCAAATTATACGATCGTCAGCTGAATGTCTTTTATCATCTGGAATTAATGGTTCTTTTCTTGTCCGTGAAAGTGAAAGTTCACCTGGACAAAGGTCAATATCATTAAGATATGAGGGTAGAGTTTACCATTATCGTATTAATGAAGATAATGAGGGTAAAGTTTATGTTTCAGCTAAATGTCGTTTTAATACTCTTGCCGAGCTTGTTCATCATCACAGTATGCATGCTGACGGGTTAATTACCATGTTACTTTATCCTGCACCCAAACGAGGTGATTCACATTCATCATCTTCATCTTCACCCAAATCAGATGAATGGGAAATTGACCGTACAGACATTGTAATGAAACATAAACTTGGAGGTGGACAATATGGTGATGTTTATGAGGCTTCATGGAAAAGGTATAATATGACAGTGGCCGTGAAAACATTGAAAGAAGACACCATGGCATTGGAAGATTTCCTGGAAGAAGCTGCCATCATGAAAGAAATGAAACATCCCAATTTAGTTCAACTATTGGGTGTTTGTACTCGAGAACCACCATTTTATATAATTACCGAATTTATGACAAGAGGTAATCTACTTGATTATCTGCGAAACTGTAACCGGGAAGAAGTTAATTCAGTTGTTATAATTTTCATGGCAACTCAAATAGCAACGGCAATGGAATATCTTGAATCTCGTAGTTTTATTCATAGAGATTTAGCCGCTCGAAATTGTTTGGTTGGTGAAAATCATTTAGTCAAAGTTGCTGATTTTGGTCTTGCAAGGCTCATGAGGGATGACACTTATACCGCTCATGCTGGAGCAAAGTTCCCTATCAAATGGACAGCCCCTGAAGGTCTTGCTTATAATAAATTCTCGACCAAATCAGATGTTTGGGCTTTTGGTATTCTTTTATGGGAGATATTTACTTATGGGATTCCACCTTATCCTGGTGTTGAGCTTGCAAATGTTTATCATATGCTGGAATCAGGATATAGAATGGAATGTCCAACAGGCTGTCCAGCGGAAATTTTCGACACCATGAGCCAATGTTGGCAATGGGAAGCCGAGGATAGGCCAACTTTTCAAGAGATTAGAGAAACTTTAGTAAATATGATACAAATTTCCCGTGAATCACCACCAACCCAAACTCAACATCACCTTCAACCAATTTTAGCCAATAGTAAATTACAAAATGTTGCCAAGGCGAGTCAAAAACTTTCTGGTAGCACACCAAATTTACACTCACTTACCGATGGTCAAGGATCTCAACCTAAATGGCATGCAATGAATATTAACATAGGCTCCAATGAAGCTATAATCACTACTAAGTCAACCATTGTTCAACTTAGACGAGGTGTAACCAATGGTACTCTTTCAAAAAAACCACCCTCATCAGGTAGACCAACACCCAATACAACAACAACAACAACAACTACAGCCAATATCCCACTTCATCCATCAGCCAAATCATCATCTTCAGAAGAGGAAGTAATAATCTACTCTTACAGGCCAGTTCTCGACATCCAATTAGAAAATTGAAACAAGCTCCTGTTCCACCCAAAAGAACAAGCTCTTTTCGTGATTCAACTCACTTACCCGATCTTCCAATTCCAGGGTCAACAATGAAACCTCCCACCCTGGAAGATGAAAAAATTCTCAAAGGTGCTAGGGAAACAATGGTTAAAGTAATGGAATCAATATCCAAAGAAACTCCATCCTATGATTTATCCCAAGTAACAATATCAACTCGTAATCAAGATAATCTTCCAGTTCGAACAGCTAAATTAAATAGGAAACCCAAAGTACCACCTATCGCTCCAAAGCCAACAAATAAAACAACACAAAATCAACATCTACCATTACCACCGCCGCCACCACCAACTCAATCCTCCTTCACTGTTGACTCTATCCCACCTTCAAACACCTCAAGTGATAGTGATAACAATAAAGACCCTGCCAAAGAAAATGAATCAAATTCAAGACGAAAAGTGCAAATACCTGCCGTTTTTCAGGTTGGCACACTGAAAAGAACAGTTGCCAGGTAACTTTAAATAGTAAATATTTCTAAATAATTAAATTGTTAAATTATTAATCAACTTCCAAACCAACACACACAAGCAAACTGAAACTCAATCAACTTACAACAACATCAACAAGCAAATAATAGTCCCTTATTTGTATATCCAATCAACGGAAATATGAAATTGAGAGAAAGAAAAATGATTTTCTTTTTTTAACCTTCCCTCTTTCTACAATTTTCAAATTGTTAATTAATTAGAGGTCATAATTACTGATAAATTAGCCAATTCTTCAACAAATTTGTCTCTCTTTCTCTCTTCTTTTAATGTGACAATTTGTTAATCACCATCGTCATTTTTTTTCTGGTCAACATTAAACTGTGGTCAATGAAGTTGATAAGTTGGTCAAGCAAGGACTCGGCTTTTGGATTTCAAGTTTCGTAGTGAAAAAAAAATTATGATTAAGATGAGGTTAGTTGATTTTTGTTTACGCAATTTCAATTTACTAATTGTTTCCAATTTTTTCTCTTAATTTAGACTGGTTGTCACATTCTACAATTATGGTTGATCAAATGTGCCAAATTAATTCATGTTAAGAAGCTGGTTAAAAGTGGATTAACCAGATAATCTGAGTTACCACCTAAATTAAACTAATTACCTGGAAAATGAATTGATGGTCTTCTAAAAGTAAAATTTTGACAATTGGACAAATTCACATCACAATAACAACAACAACAACAATAATTGACAGAAAAGGGCAATTGATTATTATGCTCACATCATCAAGATTATCACATTGAGAAGGGGAAATAACAACAACTGATTACCGGAAACAAGAAAAAAACCAACAATTAAATTACTCGACTCACATACAAGTGTGAATGTGAAAATTAAATGTAGATTAAAAAAATATTGTCCTAAATTGTATTTAATCATACAATTGTTACGTTTTCTACCTTGATTGTAATTGTTAATATCTGACCAAAGAAAAGCTAATTAAGCAAAAATAATAATAAAGTCTGTAAAAAAAAACAATAATAAATTAAATTACTAATTTAAAGTGACAATAAATTCTTAGTTGAATAGACTTAATTGATATTAAAAATTTTCTGTCCCAAACAATTAACAAAAATTCATTCGATATGAACAATTACAGATGATTAATTTTCACCTTCGCGATCAAATACATCATTTACGAAATGTAAGTTACAATTTAAAATTCCCCCGTTTAATTGTTACCTGATTTTCATTTGATTGCTTAATCAATAATAATAAGTTGTGAGTCATAACCGTGATTTAAATAATTTCACCACAATAAAGGGTTAGTGATGTGCGATTGATAGATTTTCCAATAATCGATTGTGACGCAAATTCTTCATCAAAATCGATGATCTTCGATTTCTGTCGAATAAAAAAAGACACAGGAAAAGAAAGAGAATCAGAAAGAGGAAACAGTTCGATGGGAGGGGAAGTTACGATGGAAAAAGAAAGAGAAAAGAAAGAGACTGAAAATCGATTTTTGGTTCGCAATCAGCGACATCGAAATTTCCTGCGATCATTGATGATAATCGTTAATTTGATGATCGAAAGCAACAACAACCGTTAGTTATTAAACGTTCAACTGTCAACCAAGTCACCTTGTCCTCCTGTATCATAGTTGTTTGTTAATTGTGATTAACCTAATTCAATGGCTTCGTTACTTGTCAAATCATCAACAGGTAAACAACGATCACCAATTAAAACGAAAGACAGTGTTGAGATAGTCCAAGAATGGGACAGTCAATTTGATAAACAATGGAACAGCATGAAAGATGATTTAGTTCAACTAAATCAATTAGCTGATAAGTTAATTGAGAACAAGGAATTGGAAAATGCTGTTTACACCGTTCTAGATGATTTCAAGATCAGTGAGAAGGTAAGATTTGATTTGATTGGTAATCGTTTTCTTGTCTGAAAATAATCAAATTTGTTTTTCTCTCTATTTTCCTGAATAGCTTTTGGAAAGTATTTGTAAATGGATTTACGCTTACAGGTCAAGTAAATGTGAGAAATTACATCAATATGTACTTAATTATGTTCCAAGTTTAATGTGCCTTCTATTACAATCGAGTGTAATTCCCACCGAGGGAAGGAAAAAGTACAAATGTGTCGAGGCGAGTTTACTAAATATCTATAATAAGGAGATTGTCGATGAAGAGGGAAAACCGAAAAAAGTGACCATGAGAATTCCCGATCTGAGTAAACCATCAATCTATCACAATACACCTTTGAGTACTTCGTCACCGGGACCTGCTAATCTCACCGAACAGACTTTGAAATTTTTGGAAACTTCGTTACCCGATAAGCCGATTCCAACTTTTGGACCTTACGAACAGGTTGAAAGGTTACATGCAAGTAACCGAAGTAAAACAATGACCGTTCTGGTTCGAGTTTATTATCAAAATTTAAATTATGTTAGTAAAAATTCATGGAAGGTCATGTGTAGGGTCGCATTGAAGTGAGTCCTCTTTTTTTTGTACCTGCGATTTTCATGTTTCACTTATTTTGTGCTAACGAAATGTTTTGTTTTTTTTCCAGATTGTTGAAAATGAGTGGACCAAGATCACCCTCTGAACAAGCTCATGCCCTTTCCGTTGCTAAAGCGGCCGTGGCAGCAGAAAACACCTTCAGGCGTAATGACACTTAATGAAATGTTCGGTGTTGGTTTGGCTCGAATTCAATTGGAAAGTCCTTGGTTCGTTGAGGTGCTTCGTTGTGTCTATGTTTTCCTCTATAACGGAATAACTGACCTTGGTACGAAAGTATTACAGCAAATTCACAATCGAGCGGTCAAAGAGCTTTGGACTGATGTTTTGTTGGTCAGTACAAATTTTTGTTCGAAAATTTATTGAAAATGATGTTCAATTGATTATGTTTATTGTTTTTTTCTTTCATTTTCAGATTTCAAATGCTATGATTCATTCATTTAAAATTGACCCTAATCCAAATGCCGATACTGAACCCGATCTTTCAGGTAGTCGAAGTGATGTTCGATCGCCAATATCAACTATTCTTACTGCGACAGCTTCCAATAAAACGCCAACAACAGCGGCGACTTTTAAACCTTCAAAATTGCCTGAGGACATTCCGATCGTCGGTGGTCCAACTCCAGAATCTTCAACTGCCCCTGAATCCGATGAATCGAGAAGTGCAACTTTATCACCCGCTTCTCGACCAGCGTCTTCCATGAATAGAGATTAAATGAGCTTCATCAATTTAATTATTTCATAATCTCAATTGTCAAATAGTCTTTACAATCATAACAATTTTAACTGTTCTTTTATCAAGTGTTTTTTAATCAACTAACTTTTCTCAACTCAACTGATTAAAAAAATTTTTATTCTTTCAAAATAAACAACCAACACGAAATGTAACTTGTTTCATTGATCAATGTCCAATCCAATCGATTGGTAATTGATCATCTCAATCATCACTGAAAACTCTTAGTCGATTTACCAATTGATCAAAATTATCTCGAAAGATTTGATTGTTTAATCAGTTGCAGAAAATCACAGACTTAGTTCATTATTATTATTATAATTATCATTTAAATCAAACAATCAAAAAGTATCTCATCTCCTTTTGAACTTTTGCTGCTTCAATCAGTAAATCAAAATGATTTATTTTTCACTCATTAACTTAAATGCATTCAGGAATAAAGAAGAATGAAAGAAAAAATTCAAATTCTATTTGGAACATTAATTTCTTTTTTAATTCTAAATTAAATTTAGCTGAATTATTTTCTTCATTTTAAATTCTAAGGTTGAGTTTAAGGTTCGAGATTATTGATCTTTCCCTTTTCAATGTTCTCTTTCTTTTTTTCTTTCTTTTTCATTCTTTTCTATTACTCATCTGGATCAAGTGATTGTCAATATTATCCTTTTAAATTGTCGATTCTTTCACTTTTTGTGCTGATTACTTTTCTTTTTCTTCGTTAATTAAGTAAATTCTAGTAGATTAAAGTTCCAATTTTATGTCTATTAATCATTTCTTTCTTTGATTGGTTCATTTATCTTTGTTTGGTCAATTGTTTCTCTTTTGGTTTTCTCATGCAATCTCATTCTACCTGTTCTGTGTTGTTTTGTTTTCTTCTTGATTTGATTTTTGATTTATAATCTACTTTTGATTGTTTTTGCTAATCACTTAGTTGGATTAATGATCTACTTGAATATAAAATCGCATTTCAAAGGTTAAAAAAAGGATGGAAAGAAAAATGGAGACGAAGACCAATATAGATTCTTGTGAAGGAAATGGATCATCAACTTTACCTTTCTCTTCATGTTCATCATCATTTACAGCAACAAATTCCATTACCAGTATTACCACAGTTCCAACCTCAGCATCAGTGACAAACTGTAATACCTCAATTCCAAGTATTATTGTAAATTCAAGTTCTATTACTCATCCTGATTATAATTCATCAATTAATCGTGTAAATGATGGCCAATCTAACCCAAGTGAAGAGGATCTAAGGGAATGGACTAGAACATATCATATGAGAACTCTGAATTTACTCAATTTCCCCACCAATGCATCTTCAAATCGAGTTAGCTATCGTAGTGTTATGAATAGAGCTCGAATTGGTATTGTTACAGGCGCTGCGAAATCGCTTAATGTACTTAGACAAGCTCTTCAGAACAGTATCAATAACGAGATAAACACTATTCTACAAAATATATTGAAAGATACTTTAGACCTTCAATGACTAATATTAAGAAAAATTTCGGTGCTAATTCAGGTAATTCATCCAAACCAACTCATATGAGAATCAACCATTGAAATTTCTTCCTACAACTTGATTAGATTTCAAAGTTCAATATTGATTATCTTTTGTATGTATTTCTTACATGGATCTTTGTTTTCTCATTTTCTTTAGTTTCGGAACAACATCTTCAAGCTGCTTGTCGAGAAATTCTTGAGGAAGCTAAAAAAATGTACATTGGTAGTGCATTAAATGCTTGTAGTCCTCTAAATGGTGAATTAATTGAAAACGGATCAGATTATGAGAATAATGTTACAGCTCCGGTTACAAAGAAACGTCATCATGGTGATAAACGTCAATCTCACCCGCAAATCGCTTCAATTTTAGACTGTGAATCAGATTCAGAAAGTAATTCACAACATCATCTTCGTCCGCCTCCAATTAAACGGAAAAAATTGAAAGGTTCATCTGGGGTTGGAAAGGCTCGATCATCGGGTTTCGCCAATAGATTACACTTTAAAGGTAATTCTGGTTTCGATATTAGAGAGAGGGACCTCGATGGGAATCAAATAGGTTAACCACTGAGACTAAATTTGTACTTGGATCAAAGGCCAACAAAGCTTTAGGTTTTGGTGCTACTCGAGGTCGTTTATATACCAAACACGCTGATCTTTTCCGTTATATTGGCGATCATGATGATAAACATTGGCTCCATGAACATGGGTTAATGCCACCGGCTGGAGGTAAAGCTTACCTGATAATTAAAGAAGATATTGAGAATCTATTAGAATCAGATGAATACCGAGGTGCACCCGGAGTCGACGGTAATTCCATGGGCTGTGGATTCACTGTACCAGAGGCAATGATCCTGAAAATGAGACGAACCATGGACGCGATGAAAAACGAAAGTGAAATGATGAGATCGTTGAATGAAGCTCGTAAACCTCATGTTATACCTCGAGTAACAATAGAACCCGAGCCAATTGGTGAAAATTGTGATGTCTCATCAGATGTGGCGAGTAACAATTCCAATGCTGGAGGTTTAGATGATTATGAGGTGGAAAATGAAAGTCGTGAACCCTCACCAGTCGTTCATCTTGATTATTTAAACTCAACTGTTGGTGTTTCATCAGCTAATGGATCACCTTTTTCATCCCTTTTACCAACCGATTTAAGTCCTAATCCTGAAATGTTAATCTCTCAACTACCCACTGACCTCAGTTTAACGTGAATTATTTAATGAAAACAAAACATTTATCATCTTATTTTCTAATTTAAATGATTTAATAAAATCGACAATTTAACTCTCAATTGGATGTGGCGCCTTTTTCCAACTTGTCAGATCTTTGGAAGAGCAAAAAAAGTAAACAAAACTTGAAACATTTCGGAAGCTTTTCAATCAATTGTTTCACTGATTTTCCATTGAATAAATTATCTTATTGGTAATTTATTTCTCTTCTCACAACAATTAGAACCACCAACATTCGAGCAGATTCTTAATTGTGAGCTTTCTGTTGATCAGAAGAGAAATTAACTGATTGAATCTTGTCCGTTTCTTTGCATCTCATTTTTTTTTGTTCCAATTTCTTGAAGATAAATTTTCTATTCTAATTGTTTTTTTTTATTCGATTTATATTATTATTTTTAATTGTTCTTTGTGTTTGTTTATATGTAAAGATGGATTCTCGTGAACAAATGAATGCGACGATTCAATCAACTCTTCAATGGATTATCACCAATTACAATGTGAATGAAGAATCAATAGGAAAAAGTAAAAAGCTTCTTCATGGTTTAATTAATCAACTAGATGATCCTAAATTATCAATTCAAAGATTGTACCTGATTTATTCAATTTGTGAACAATTGGGTGATGATGAGGATAAAGCTGTTAATTTTTTAGCCACATTGTTTCCAGTTCCATTGAGAAAAAATCTTGCCTCTTTCATTGGACAAATGGTTTCACTGGCAATTGGCCTTAATAGTAAATCACTTCTCACAGCTTCAACAATTTACTTGGATAAAGAGCAAATTAAATTAAGTGATTACGATATTAAACAATTACCATTAAATCTGGCGGAAAGTAGTCCATCTTTTGCTGCTGTTCTAATTGACAAAGGTTTCTTCAATTCTAATCAAAGTTCAACCACATCAAATTCACCGGAAAAGAAAATGATCTCAACCCATTTACTTACTAGATGGTTAATATCTCTAAATGAATGTAACAATCAAAAGATCATCTTTAATGGTCAACCTTTAATACGCTATTCACTTGTTGGTCAAGGGAAAGGAAATTCTGATTTACATTTTCACATTTTAGAATCAATTGAAAATAAGAAACTTCAACAATTATCAACACCATTTGTCATCGATATTGCAACTCTATTATCTAAACGTGGAGATGATGATTTAATTTCTAAATTTGCTCATGTATTAATTATCGGAGTTCAAAATGGTATTTGTAATGCACTTTCGTCTAATCAAATGCGTAACAAATTGATTGCTCTATTTCCAAACAATTTACTAATCAAAGCTTTGGTCAATATGAAGATTAAATAATCATGGACACAATCAAATCATCCAATCAAATTCAAACCTTTCACAATTGACACCATCTCAAGACAATCGATTATTTCACCTAATTGTTTCAACTACATGCATATTCATCATTTTTCTTTATTCTATTAATAATTCATTTGTTTAAATATTAATAATTAAAAAAAAATAATTGAATAGAAATTGTTATCACAATGAACATTTCGATTGATTGAATTTCTTTTCCAATAGATGGCGTTAGTTGTTATTCTTTTTTTCTTATTATTGGTTCGTCTTTACACCGATAGAGGGAAAACTGAGAATTGTATTGAGTTTATATTTTTTTTTCTGGATTTAATTTCTAGGAATTGTAAGATAATTTTACTTTGACAATTAATTTAAATTAATTATATTGTTTAATTGTATCTCATTGTGTTTCTATTGTGTAAACAACTTGATATTATTTATATCGGATTAATCCAATTACTCGGTTAACATTTAAAAAGGTAAGTTTTGTTTTCCTTTTCTATGATTCCTCTTTTTTCTTCTCTCCTTTTCTCTTCATCTGTCTGCTCTCTCTCTCTCTCTCGCTCTCTCTTTTCTCTTTTGCTTGAGGAGGAGTTGAAAGTGTGTATGTTGTGTAAAGGGGAGAGTGAGAGGTGAAGAATAAGAGGAATAAGAAAAAAGATGAGAAAATTATGATGAAGATATGATTAGAATTTGTCAATTTTCTAGATGGAACAAATTTTTCTATTCTAATTTTGGTTAAATTTTGTTCGTTAAATCAATGACAGTTTTTGGTTAACATTCTACCGGCAACCAACTTGTTTTCTTTATCATTTTCCTTTCTCTCTCTTTCTCTCTTTTTCTAGTGAGATTTTTACCTTCACATTGAAACGGTTTGGGTTCCCTTTTGATACTATTTTCTCTAGAGTTAATATCTTTGTTTACTATTGCATTTGTACCTTTTTTTTCTCACATAAAATCATCTTCATCTTGGTAGACAATTTTGTTATGTTTAAAATGAATTTCTGCTCATTGAATAGTGAGAACAACTAATAGAAGCCATTTTATGATTTTCTCCAATTTCAAGATAGATAAGAGAGTCTGTTAGAGAATTTAGTGAGCCAAAATATTTACTCATTTTCTTATTTTTCCCCTTCTTTATCTAGATCATATATTCAACTAATTATCGGCTAATAACTTGTTAATGATAAAGAAATTTCTATTTTTTTTTTGGAGAATTGAAATTACATAATAGTCTATTCAGCCTTCCGATATTCATTTGAAAGATTTCATTGTGGTTAGACAGGAGGAGCTAATGAATTTGGGATCACTGATCTTTTCCTTTCCTGTGCTTGCTCTCTCTCTTTCTTTCTCTTTCTGCTTTTTTCAAATTCTCACTCTTCTCTTTCTATCTTTCTTATTCTCTCTCTTATATTCACCTATCTTCCATTATTATTGCTGAATGGCAGCCCCATTAATTGTTTGGTTTTTTGTCTCTTCTCATTACTCTCACTTCTCTCTCTCTCTCTTCTTTTTCCTTTCTTTTCCTATCTTTCTGCATCTCTTTCTTCATTCTCTTTCTAAATTTTTGTTTCTCTCTCTCACACACTCTCCATCTTTCTGTTTTTCTGTCTACAGGCTTAAGGAACAAGTTATTATTGCATTACCAATTTTTAATACATCACTACATTCTCAACCATCATTACTATTATTATTATTATTTATGGTATCAAATCAAATGTAAATTGTGGTAAATTGTAAATTGTCAATTTAATTATCATAATTTAATTGGATACATGGTTCTTAAAGAAAAACAGTTGATAATTTAAGGTGAAATATCTAATGTTTACATTGCCGGTCTTATTGTGTAAAATGTTTGTATGCTGGTTGAGTTGTTTATCAAACTGAAGGTATTGATTTCCCTATGTCAATGGGCGATTACCAATTACTTGGTGATGGTTTTGGTAAGTAGATTATCTGATTGGTTGCAATCAATTGTTATATGATAATGATGATGATTATGAGAATGATTATGAGAATGATTAAAACAATCTAATAATGTGTTGCATTCTCTAGGATACCATCCAGGTTATGCGCCAACTGGTAACCCATCAAATAATAATCCCGGAGGCCCGAACATGGAGCAACCCCCTGGACCAAATAACGCGGCAATGGCCGCAATGATGTCGTCAAGTGCCATCGGAGGTAGTCCTGGTTATGGAATGATTCCTCCACATGGTGAGTTTCTTTCTGTTTCTTAAATGTCACCATTTGAGTGACTATTGAGTTTGTCTATTAGATGAAATGAATGGATTACAATGGAATTTTTGTACTATAGAACAAAAGCTTATTATCCATTTAATTGGTTTCAATTTATATTCAACTGTCAGTCATTTGATGGATCAAAGAATAGAAATAGAAACAAATATCCAATGAAATGTTTTCTGTCAACTTTGCGAGGGATTTTTAATTCATTTTTTATTTTTTACTTTCTCCTTTTCACTTTTCACTTTTCACTTTTCACTTTATTCTCTCAGGTGCTCGTGGTCATGGGCTACCTCAAAGATCTTTGCCCCCTTTTGGTGCACCTTTACCTATGCCTCCAGGTTCAGTACCTTTGGGTGGTCTCGGTGATGCGATGAAAGTTCATGATCAGTATGCAAGTAGTGGTTTTCCTGGAGCAAGTTCACAATCGGCCATGAGAAGTGGTCACTATCCTCAGCATGATTCTCGTTATGGTCATCCTAGTAGTGGTTATCCAGGTGTTCCAATGGGAAGTGGTCCTGGTGGTCCATCATCTCTTGGACCAATGTCCCAACATAATGGAGGGATCGGTGTGCCTCAGTCCAGTTTAACATCGTTACCTGGTTCCAGTAGTTATCAAACTCGTGGTCTAATGAGTGGTTATAATGATCAAAGGATGTTGTCACCGATTCTAGGACCAGGTTCTGGGAGTCCATATCCAGGACCTTATCCTTCATCATACGGACCAATACCAACAGGAGGACCTGGTACAAGATTATGGCACAATCAAGGAATGAGTCATTTGCAACAGCGACCTCCTTATGGTTATAACACTAGTGGAGTGGGTCCACCACCTCCATCTTCACTCGGACCTCCAGGACAAACAAGTAGTTCTCGTAGTGGGCAAGGACCACCTCCATCTCCTTTCGGGCCTGGTGCCAGTGATTATGGCTCATTGCATTCACAGCAACCAACTAAGCAACCTCATCAGCCTCCAACACAACAACAACAACAGCAACAACAGTCATCACAACAGCAGCAGCAACAACAACAACAACAACAATCACAGTCACAAGCTCAACCCACGAGACCATATTACAGTACTAGCAGTGGAAGAGTGGGAGCACAAAGTTCCTCATTGACTAGTTTCATTCCATCCGAACCTCCATCACCATATTTAACATCTTCTTATAGTCAAAATATAAGTGCATCACAAGGAAACTCAACATCATCCTCATCATCCAGTGGTAACAATGGTGGCCCTCGACAACCTCAATCTCAACCAGGACCACCTTCTCATTACACATCTTTAGGTTACCCTGGTCCTGGTCCTGGTCCTGGTTCTGGTCCAACGGGAAGTGGTGGTGGTGGCAGCGGGTCAACAAGTGGAGGAATGATTGGTTCATCAGGTTCTAGTAGTAGTAGTGTCCCTCCAGGGTCAGTTAATTACCCAGGACAGCAATATCAAGGATACAGTGTTAGTCAGGGGTATAGTGAGACTTCAAGTCGGCTTTCACCTTATACAATGAGCTCTGGGTCGACAGGAGGTCCCAACACTGGACCCAATAGTCCAGGGTATCGAGCGCCGTTCAGTGCAGCATCTCTAACTAGTATGTCACCTCGTCGACCAACACCAACACCGCCTGCAGGGTCACCGATGCCGCCAACATCACGGACACCAGATCGAGGGTCAACTACGATTTCAACGTCAGGTCCAACAAGCAGTTATCCAAGTTCGGGTTCATTAACAAGTCCTAGTGGTCCAGGACTTTCGCCTGGTAACAGTTCAAAATCCAGTGGATTAGCTGGTCCACCAGGTTCATCTTCGTCTCATAATGCATCGTCATCATCATCATCTTCATCTTCACAAGTCCCACAGTCCCAATCATCTGCATCTTCATCCACATCTCATGGTCCCTTATCTTCACATCAATCAACACCAATTAATAGTCTTCAACAATTGGAACAAATGGTCATGCCTCACCTTAACTCTTCTTCTTCATCCTCCTCATCATCTTCAACAGCAGCAAACAGCAGTAATAAAATCAACTCAATATCTTCAATAATCTCATCGACACCATCGTCATCATCATCCAACAACAGCGCTTCCAATCCTTATTATATGTCAGGAAGCAGCAACAATAATATTCATGGTTCACAGAAAGCAGATCAACAACAACCATCGAATTTGTATCCTCGATTTCCATCCCCATCTTCAGCCTCTTCTGGTCCAGGAGGTTATTATGGAGGGAACTCGGGATACCCTCAGAGTAATTCATCATCATGGAGACCACCACCCACTCCGGGTCAACCATCAACTGGCCCAGGGTCAAACTCCATGTCCAATACTCAATCTCCAATGGCTTCTTCTGTCCCTTATTCACCAGCATCTCAAATTGATCAACAACAACAACAACAATCATCTCAAAGTAAAGAGGTTCCATCTCCTGGTTTATCACGATCATTAAGTAAGTCACTTGTTTGACAATTGATTTAATTGTTTCTACTCGCGCTCTATTAGTCAATTAGTTATTCATGGTTTGTGATGACATTTAATCAATTAGATTTCAAGATTTCAACATTTCCAGATTCCGAGATTAATAAACAAAATGTCGTCATTGTAAAATGATTATTATAATTGGTCGATAAGTGAGGTGAAAATATTCAACCTTTGAGTTTAAATAATACAATAGTAATTATTGATTAGTCTGGAAATTATAATTGATGATATTTACGTAATAAGTTATAACTTTTAATCGATTCTTCAGTTTGTCTTGTTCATTTTATTGATAATTAGATCCTTATTTTCTCTTTTTCTTTCTTTCTTTCTTTCGATCTTTCTTTCTTTCTTTATTTTATTTGTTTCTATTTCTATTTCTTATTATCATTATCATTATCTTTTTCTTTTTGTTTCTTCTCTCTTCTCTCCTTAGCATCAACAACGTCAAGTAATAATTCAAGCTCAATGACTGGACAGCAATATTCAATGTTCGATAATCAAGCATATTCATCAAATTCATCTTCCATTGATAATTCAAATTATCAAAGTCAATCAAATCCAAAACAAGATCTTGTTAATAAGAATGTCATGTCTCCTCGAACACCAGGATCCAATCAGCAATCTCAACCAATGTCACCATTTAACTTTAGAAACATTGATGCAAATAAGACTTCGTCTTATGGATCTCCACAAATCACCAAGGATGACAGTGGATCTGAAAGTAAAAGTGATAATGGAAAAGCACAAAGTGATGGATCTAATTCAAATAATATTTATAGTGTGTTAACAAGTCCCGCCAACGCTGGTGGTGATAATAGGAGTGACAAGACGAATACATCATCAAGTGAACTGACATCGAGATCATCCCGAGATGATCTAAGTGCTCCTGGTCCTGGTCCTGGTCAGTCGACTGTCCAGTCAATGGATCCTGGACAATATCATTCAAACTACATGTCAGGAGGTCCTAGTGAATCGAGTTACAATATGAGTCAACAACAGTCTCAACATCAACCTCAACATCAGCATTCACAACAACAACAACAACAACAACAACAACAACAGTCTGATGGTTCTAATATGTACTCTAATCAACCTGGAGGTAACCCATCACAAGGAAATTGGGATTATGGTAGTGGATATAATCAAAGTTATGATATGAATATGACAAGTGACTCGAGTATGAATCAGCCTTACATGGGTCCTGATTCAATGATGTATAATCAAAATTACAATCAAGGTCCAGGAATGGGACCGATGATGTCTAATCAAATGAATCAAAATGAATATGGAGGTAACAGTGATATGAATCAATCTCAACCTTATGATCCTTATGGAGATACATTTGACCAAGAGCCACCAATAGCCAAAAAGAAAGGAAAAGGTCGTCCAAGGAAAGATCCAGCTGAGCCGAAGAAAGAAAAGAAACCTCGAGCTCCTCGAGCACCGAAAGGAGCGGGTTCAAGGGGCAGAGGAAGGGGAGCAAGAAGCTCTCCTGAATCTCGTATGGGAGCATCACCTTCAATGATGTCCGGTCCAATGACACCAAATTATGATGGATCTTATTCAATGGGAAGTAATCCAGGTGACATGTATTCATATCCAACACAAGGTCCTGGAGGTCAAATGCCAATTGACCCAAGTATGGGTGGAGGAGGAGGACCAATGTCTTATCCACCTCCACCACCTCCATCATCATTACCACCTCATCCCTCGCATGGTTTGGGTCCTCAAGGATCTGATATGTATGGACAAATGGATAGTCTTGGTCAATTGCCTCCCCCCGATTTTCAGTCTCGTCCAGATATTCCAAGTGAAATGATGTATCCACCACCGCCATCTCATGATCCTTCAAGGATTCCGGGAAACGATCCGTCGGCTTATAAGCCGATGCCACCAGAAAGTTCAATTCCTTATGACTCTCAACTTAATCAACAACAACCTGTTCATCCTTCTCATCCCTCTCATCCACCACCGCCACCACCTCCACCTCCTCAATCATCGTTACCATCACAACCAATAAGTGAACACACTGACTCGATGCAACAGCAATCACATCTTCTCCCTCCTCCTCCTCAACAACAACACCAACCGCGTGAGCAACAACAACAACAAAAACAAGAAGATGCAAGTTTAGAGTCAAGTGAAGAGCAAACTGACCAACTTGGCGGTTTGTCCTCAGAAATTCAGCCCGAAAACAGTTTCACCAAAAGTGTTCACGATGAAAACATTAATCAATCATCTTCATCGGAGACAATTGCAAGCACAACAAGTAACGATGGTCAGACGGGAGAGACAAATGATAATTTAAATATTTTTCGTGATCCTAGTTTAACAAGTGATAACTTTTATGGTATAACTGGAGATGACAATTCTCTTACTCAACCTGGAAACATTAATCAAACTGAGGTACAACCCGAAGCACAAGCGTTGGATGGACATGGAATTGAACACTCGCAAGTTGAGTCTTCTTTTCAACCACTACCACCACTTCCGCCTCCTCCTCTTCAAGGAGCGACACCACAGTTACTATCACAAGCACAACAATCAACTCAATCAGAGGATTTTTTATCCAATGAAGTTGTATCATCATTGGGGCAAAATTTTCCAAATCAAACTTCAACTCCTCCTCCGCCAGTTGAAGTGCCTCAACTTCTTCCACCTCCTCCAGAATTACCCACCACACTATCTGACAATACATGTGACGATGGTGTAGTTATCAGTAAGATGGAGTTTAATGAAGAACAGACTCCCGCAAGTACTCCCGTCAAAAGAAAGGCAAAGAAACGCAAAGCCAAAGAGCTGAAAGACACGGTTCCTTTTGACGAGGGTCCATTCATGAGTGAGGGTGGACATCAGACTTTTTTCTCGGAAGATGGTCAAGAAAACAAGAAAAAGAAACGCAAGAGAAAAAAGAAAGATGAAAACGTAGTTAAAAGTGAAGATACAGCTGTAGAAGGTGGAGAAATGGGCGAAGTAGGTGAGGGAGGTGGAGAAGGAGGAGAAGGGGAGCCAGAGAAGACGAAAAAGAAGAAGAAAAAGAGAGTCAAGAAGAAAGTGGTCGAAGAGGAAATTCCTATAGAATACCCAGCCGAAGATACGACTCTTCCCTCGGAAATGATCGGAGAAGGAGGTGAGGGACAACCTGAAGATACAACGATCGACGGTGATACAACTTTAAATACTACCGATGGTTCAGCAAGTAAATCAAAAGGCAAGAAAAAGCGACCCAGCAGAGCGAAGCCCAAACTGAAAGATGGATCTGGTAAGAGTAAGAAAAAGTTACCGAAACTTGCGCTTAAATTTGGTAAATCAAAGAAGCGGAAGCGACTGGGGTCATCTGATGCTTCGGACATTGAAAAGACTCCACCACCATCTCCAATCGAAGATCCTTTGGCCGACTCACTCAAACGCCGATCAGCTCGTAATACTAAGCGACAAAAGTACACGGATGATATTGATCTTGATCTGTCAGAGGAAGATTCAAACAGCGCTGAAAAAGGCGAAGGGGCAAGTGGCGAGAAGAAAGTTTTAGATTCCAATGTTCAAGTGACCAAAATCGCCGAAGATACGATGGTCGTGGATAAGATCATGGCCTCGCGAATGGGCGAGCGGGAAATCGAGGCAGAAGATGGAGAAGAACAAATTGCCGAAGGACAAAAGATCAAAATCGAAGAGTATTATGTCAAATACAAGAATTTATCTTATCTCCATTGTGAATGGAGAACTGAAGAAGAACTGGAAATGGGAGATAAAAGAGTGAACCAGAAGATTAAGCGATGGAAACAAAAGAAAGAAAGTGAAATCGACATAAACTTTTTGGACGATGAACCATTTAATCCTGATTATACTGAAGTTGATCGAATCCTGGATGTACAAGAGATCGAAGAAACCATCGAAGAAGAGGTTGAAATCGGTGAAGATGATGAAGATTCCCGAGATGATACCAAAGTGGAAATTGTTCCAGTTTTAATGAGTGAAAAGAGTGAAGGTGATCAATTGAAAGAAGGTGAAGATGCGAACAAAGTTCATAAATCTGAAACAACCATTGACACCGAAGTGACGATCGCTCCTGTAGAAATTATGCCAGAAGCTGATGAATTATCATCTAAAATCGACGGTGATAATAAGTCAGATGAAGATCAAAAGACTGAAGTGAATTCTGAAACTGATGAGAGTGAGAAACAATCATCAGAATCAGAGACTAAAGTTGATACAACTTCTGTTGAGGAGAAAGACGAAGACATCGAAATGAAAGATTGCAAAGATAAAGATGGTGAAAGTTCAATCAAAGAAAAGGACGAATCAGAAATACTCGAGAATCTCGAAGAGCCATCGAAAGATAGTAAAGATGTCAAAGATGATGAAAATGGAAAGAACAAAATGGATTCGGTCGATGGAGAAACTGACGAAAAGAAAGATGTCACTGAAGAGTCTAAATTGGAATCAGACGAAAATAAATCAAACGAAGAAGTGAAAGACGAAGAAAAGACTGAAGCTTCTTCTGAAGTGGAATCGAAACCTGTGATTGTTAAACGCACAAAGAAAGTTCTGAAGAAAAGAATAGTTCGTCATTATTTAGTTAAATGGAGAGCGTTACCTTATGAAGAAAGTACTTGGGAACTAGAGGATGATTTGGATCCATTGAAAATCGCTCATTTCTGGAAGTTCAAAAGTCCACCACCAAAAGATAAATGGAAACCAAAGAAGAGACCAAAGGCCAATGAATGGAAGAAATTAGATTCTTCTCCTGTCTACAAATCAGGCAACACTTTACGAGAATATCAATTAGAAGGAGTCAATTGGTTGATGTTTTGTTGGCATAATGGGTAAGTCATAATTTCTCATAATGATGATACTGAGTAATTGCTAATGTTTACTTTCATTTCTAATTTTCTAATTAATGTTTTTCATATTTGTTTCTCTTTGCTTAGACGTAATTGTATTCTTGCTGATGAAATGGGTCTTGGTAAAACCATTCAGTCGATTTCTTTTGTGTCTGAAATGTTCCGATTCGGGATAACTGGACCTTTCTTAATAATCGTGCCTCTTTCAACGATTGGTAATTGGCAACGAGAATTTGAAACCTGGACCGATCTTAATGTGATCACTTATCATGGCAGTTCCGCGAGTCGAAACATGTTACAAGAATATGAAATGTACTACAAAAAGGAAAACGGTGAAAGATATGAAGGTTTCTTCAAATTCCAAGTGATGATCACAACCTTCGAAGTGGTTCTAACTGATTGTTTGGAACTTCGGGAAATTCATTGGAGAGCTTGTATCATCGACGAAGCTCATCGTCTCAAGAACCGAAACTGTAAACTTCTTGAAGGTTTGCGACTCTTAAATATGGAACATCGAGTTCTCTTAACTGGAACTCCTTTACAGAACAATGTTGAAGAACTGTTCAGTCTACTGAACTTCTTGGAACCAAGTCAATTCGCATCTTCGGAATTGTTTATCGCTGAATTTGGTGATCTCAAGACGGAAGATCAAGTCGACAAACTGAAAGCTCTTCTTAAACCGATGATGTTACGTCGATTGAAAGAAGACGTAGAGAAGAGTTTGGCTCCCAAAGAAGAGACCATTATCGAAGTGGAACTGACCAATGTCCAAAAGAAATACTATCGAGCTATTTTGGAAAGAAATTTCCAATTCTTGACCAAAGGAAACAGCAAACAAAATATTCCCAATCTAATGAACACCATGATGGAATTGAGAAAGTGTTGTATTCATCCTTATCTCATCAATGGAGCAGAAGAATCAATAATTTCTGAATACAGACAAAGTAAACCGGACTCATCGTCACTTTTACTCGATGCTCTTGTTCATGCCTCAGGTAAACTTGTGCTTATTGACAAACTGTTGCCTCGTCTGAAAGCTGATGGACATCGAGTTCTCATCTTCTCCCAAATGGTCCGTTGTCTGGACATTTTGGAAGACTATTTGGTTCAGAACAAGTATCCATTTGAACGGATCGATGGACGAGTTCGAGGTAACATGAGACAAGCAGCAATCGACAGATTCTCGAAACCAGGTTCTGATCGATTTGTTTTCCTGCTTTGTACTCGAGCTGGTGGTTTGGGTATCAACTTGACCGCTGCTGATACTGTGATAATCTTTGACTCTGATTGGAATCCACAAAACGATTTGCAAGCTCAAGCTCGTTGTCATCGAATCGGTCAATCGAAAATGGTTAAAGTGTATCGACTAATTTGTCGCAACACTTACGAGAGAGAAATGTTTGACAAGGCCTCATTAAAACTCGGCTTGGATCGAGCTGTTTTACAATCAATGAACAGCAATGCAACGGTGAGTGAAAATGGACTATCCAAAAGTGACGTTGAAGATTTACTCCGAAAAGGAGCTTATGGAGCGATAATGGATGATGACAATGCCGGAGATAAATTTTGCGAAGAAGACATCGACCAGATTTTACAACGACGAACGCAAATCATCACATTGGAAAGCGAAGAGAAAGGAAGTACCTTCTCTAAAGCGACTTTTGCTGCCTCTGAAAATCGATCGGATATCGAAATCGATGATCCAAACTTTTGGGAAAAATGGGCCAAAAAAGCGCAGCTTGATGTCGAAGAAATTACCGGTAAAAATGATTTAATTGTCCAAGAACCAAGACGAAGAACACAAACAAAAAGGTTTGGTCAAGATGAACAAATGTTGGAAATTTCTGATGCCGATTCGAGTGACGAAGACGAAGAAAATGTTTCGAATCGGACTCGTGGAGGAAGAACCAAATTCAAACTCAAGAAAGGTAAACGAGGACGAGAACGAGACGACGAATTCATGGAAGACTTTGCTCCAGGTAATTGGACTAAAGCTGAATGTTACCAAGTCGAAAAGGGTTTACTTTGTTATGGTTGGGGTCGATGGGACAAGTACCTTGAAACGGGAATATTCAAGAGACACATCACCTTACAGGATGTTGAACATGTCGCGAGAGTGATAATGTTACAATGTCTTCAAAATGTGCGAGGAGATGATAAGAGGAAAGAAACATCTTTTTATTGGGAAATAATCGCTCCAACTGATTACAAGATGGAAGAAGGTAAAGGTAACAAGTCAACGACAATGGCCGAAGACGAGAATCAAGAACCATCTCCAAGTGGGTCTAAAAGAAGATCAAAGAAATCAAAGAATCAACAACAACAATCACCTCCTGTAGTTCAGCAAATTGTGCAACCAATTGACTCTTCGGATCCTTTTCAATCTATGAATGGGCCAAAGAAGATTTTTTCAATCCCGATCTTTTGTTGCCGGAAGACTATCGAAGTCACATCAGTAAAATTTGTAACAAAATTCTGCTTCGTTTCAAACTGTTGTGGTACTTGAAAACCGAGATATTTGGTGATCTTTGTGAACCAATCAGCAAGGAATCTCTTGTAGAAGCTCCTTTCTCTCCGCCAAGTAGGGATGGTTACCCTGGATTACCTGGTTGGTGGGATGAAGATGCTGATAAATCCCTTTTGATGGGAGTATTTAAACATGGTTACGATCGTTACAATCGAATGAGACTAGATCCCGCCTTGTGTTTCTTGAGTCGATGCGGCCCACCCGATGGAACTGCTTTGATGGCTGAATTAACATCGGACGATATCAACAAAGAGGAAGAAGATGAAACAGAAGCTCCTGAAGGTGTTTCTGTCAATGAGTCGGGAGTGAATGAAGAGCTTAAAGCGAAAGAGTCAAGTATTTCTGGAGAAATGGTCAATCCTTTCCCATCGTCTTCTGACCTTAACAAGAGATTCCGAAATCTCATCTCGGCCTATCAACGTAACGTGAAGAAGCAAGAGCGACTCGAACGCAGTGCTGCTGTTTTGCAAGAGAAGAGACGAGAAGTGGCTCAGAGAAGATGGTCCAAGAAAGATGACTCTGATTTCTATCGAACTATCATCTCCTATGGTGTCGATTACAACAAAGAGACTGGTCAATATGATTGGTCTCGTTTTCGACTCATGTCCAAATTGGACAAGAAATCAGATGAATCTCTTACCGAGTATTACAAGTCTTTCTTTGCCATGTGTAAAAAGGTCACCGGTCGTCCTCTTACAGACGAAGAGGAAAACTACAACTACCTCGTTGATCCAATTTCAGAGGATAAGGCAAGTCGAGCTCTTGCTCGAATTGAGCTTCTTTGTAAAATTCGCGAAGAGATTTTACCTCATCCCGAACTTGATGAGAGACTTAACTTGTGTCAAATGTCAATTGATCTTCCTGATTGGTGGATTTGTGGTCGACATGATAAAGACCTTCTTGTTGGTGCTGCTAAATATGGTCTCAATCGTTTGGATATCAATTTGATGAACGATCCTGAGTTATCATTTATGAAAATCTTCCGTAATGATGAAGCAGAGGCAAAGACTAAAGTTGAATCCAGAAGAGATACAACACTTGAAATCAACAAGATTGAAGCGAAGCCAAAGGTTAAAGAAGCCAAGGTTGAAAAGCAAGAGGAACAACTGAAAATCGAAGAGATCGAGAAGGAAACAGAGATCAATTTAACCACCGAAAAGTCTGTTGTTGAAGAAACAGCAACAGATGAGAAGATCACTCCAGCTGAAGTGAAAGAAGAAGGAGAAGGAGAAGTTGACAACAAAGAAAGAGAAACAACCAATGACTTGGTGGAAGAATCTAAAGACTCTGAAACTAAAGAAAAAGAGTCAACCGAAGCTGAATCGATGGAAGTTGATAAGATTGAAGAACCAAATGACAAAACACCTACCAAAGAAATCGATGACGAAAAGGAAGAAAAAGAAGAAGAAAAAGAAGTGACTGATATGAGCTTAGATAAAGACGAAAGTGCAAAAGATCCTGAAAAGGAAGAAAAAGAAACTTCAGCGTCAGAGAATGAAGAAAAAGATCCTAAAGAGACACCAAGTACTGAAGATAAGGACGAAACCTCAGTCGAAGAAAAAGCTGAGCAAGAGTCAGAAACAGTTGATAAAACAACTGATGATGAAAAGAAAGAAGAAGAGAAAGTTTCAGCTGAAGAAGAAGAAGACAAAGAAAAGAAAACTAAGGACGAAACCAACGAAGAAACTGTTCTACCCGGAGAAGAAAAGTCAGTTGAAGAAACTGAAGATGAATCTTCAAAGATCATCGATAAAATAAGTGAGGAGTCAACAGCTGATAAAGAATCTTCTGAAGATAAAACTAAAGAAGATGAAGTCCCTATGGAAACAGAGAAATCAGTTGACGAAATCAAAGAAACTGATGAAACTGTTGAACAAGAAAAGGACAAAGAAAAGTCTCCAAGTGAAGTTGAAAAAATGGATCAAATTGAAGAAAAAGACCAAGAAAAAGTAGAAGAAGAAGAAGAAGAAAAGACTGAAAAAGAAAACAAGGATGATAATGAAGAAAATGGAAAACAATCAACTGTGGAATCCGAGGAAGAAAAACAAGAACAACAAGAATCCAAGAAAGAAGAAGAAGAAGAGGAAATAAGAGAAAGTAAGATCGAAGAAGATGATGAAAAATCCATCGAAAGATCGAATGAGATCGTTAAAGTGGTCGAAGAATTGAAAGAAAAGATTGCCGAAGAATCTCCATCAAAAGAAGAAGGTAAAAGAAAATCAGAAAGAGTTGTAGCTCGAAACACCCAAATGGAGATCACGATTATCAAGAAGGAAGTGTCGCAAATGGACTCGAAGGCTCCATTGGTCAATTCAGGCAGCATTTTAGAAAACGATGCTTCTTTCTTCAACCAATCGACTGACAATTTCGCAAGTCGAGGTTTCATTCGATGGCCAAAAGAACGAGTGTTAATTGTTCGATTGGAACAAATTTGTCACTGCGTCGATAAAAACGATTGGCCTTTCGCTAAACAAGCTCTATTCACAGCTCTTGCAACTGTACCTTCAACACCAAGTATTGCGACTGCCGATAGTTCACCGAGAGCGGCATCTCCTGTGAGCATTTCCAGTATGAGTAGAGAGGCAACTCCACAACAAACACCCGACAATACACCTCGACATGAGTCAGTTTCACCTTCACCTGATCCATTTATGTTTGATGTCGCTAATGCTTCTGGTATGATTGATGCCGGAGGGCGACTTCGATCTCGAGGTAGACGACGAAGAGGTCGCTATGAAATGGAACATCCGGAAAGAGCTAAACTAAGAAATTTACTACAACAATCGGACAATAATATTCAATCCTCAAAGAAAAACATGACTCCCAATATGAGCTCCATGATCAATACTCCTCCTCTGTTGCCACCATTGTTTTCAATGTCACTTCAAAACTTCCGAAATGAACTTGTTAATGAGGATAAAGGTTCATCTCTTTTGATGAATCGATCTCATGGTTCAGAGGGTCGAAGTAAATCTCATTCTCACTCTCACTCTCACTCACATTCTCACCATCATCTTCCAACTGTAGTTCATCCATTCGCTTCATCATCATCGATTAAAACACCTCTTGCACCACCCATTTCCGATCTTCCAAATAAATCGTCTTCGAGCAAATCTTTGGGAGCTCCTCCCGCTGCTCACTCAGTTTCCAACACCAAACGAATACCAAATCTGGACACCGTTGACCTGCGATTCACTAAGCCTGTTCCTGGAATGCAACACATGAGTCCAGGATCTAAACCTTTAGCAGCTCCTGATAAGGTTGTTAAACGATCATCAACACCAGTGTCTCTTTCATCGGTACTTGACCTTAGTGGTCCAGTAAAGAAAGATTGTAAAGATGATGATCCATGTTTAACATCACCCACTTTCGGTAAAAAGGGACAAACAGGTAAACGTACTGGAAGACGAATTGATGATCTTGCTAATAATTTATTACAAAGAAAGAAAATGATGCAAGAGAAACAAGATGATCCTGTGCCTGAGAGTAAACCAACAACACCATCACCTCGGGACATGAGGGCAAGATCTGAATTGGATAAAGTAGAAACTCGATCATCTACACCAAAAGATCGAACTCGAACTCCACCCGCCGCTCATTCCTCATCTCGATCATCATCAGCTTTATCTGCATCTCTTACTCGAGACTTATCAATGAAACCTCCAGAAAAGACAAACTTCCCACCACCGAAAGTCAATCCTCCTCGTTCTGGACATAGAGAATCATCTTCATCTTCCTCTTCATCCTCTCGTCAACATCACCACCAACAATCAGTATCAGCTGATATCGCTGGTAATTTAGGAAAGGGAAGCTCATCTAAAATGGATAAAGCTTTTAAGGAAGATGCTGTACAACAATTAAAGAAAATCCTTGCTGAAAATCCCGAGTTAATGAACAATCCAACCTTTGCCTCCGCCGCTGCAATATTATCTGGAGCATCGCCTTTAGCTGCAAATGTAAGTTAACTTCCACTTATAATCAAAACAAACTACCATTAGTTTACTCGTTGTTTTCACTCATTAATTTTTCATCTTCACTTTATAGACTCAGTTGTTGGAGTTACCAGATAGTAAAAAACGAAGCTCTCGCCGTTCTAAGCCCGATAATACACCCCAACAATCACTACCGAAAGTGCAGCCGATTCAACAACCTCCTCCAGCTTCATCCTCATCTTCTCATTCTTCATCTCTGCCAAACTTACAAAATTTGACTGGAGAAGAACACATACCATTGATAAACAAACTAAATGGAAAGAAGGTACGTAATTAATGTTTTTCCATATTTATATTTGATTAATAATCATCATTATTCTTTTGGATTTAGCTCACTGGATCAAAAGCTCCAACTCTCAAAAAATTACCTGATTTTCTAAAAAAGAATCCAATGTATGAAATGGACCCTAAATGGGCCGCTCTACTCAGAGAAAACCTTCCAGCTCTCAAAGCAATGGTAAGTCACTTTACTCATCCCTTTTGTTGATTTATCTCAATTTTACTAAATTTTCATGTGCAATTTGAATTATCTTTCAGTCTTCACAACAAGCACCTAGAGATCCACCTCCTCCAACAATTCGAACTCGAACAAGTGACCGAAAGGCTGGAGAAAGTAGTAGATCTAAACACAGTGATTCGGGTGTTAGTCCACGAAGAGCAACAGCCGCCTCTCTATTGGCCAATCAAGCAGCATCAAGTTCTGCATCTGCATCATCAACAAATACACCATCAACTAGTTCTAGTTTTGGATTCCCGCCTTCATCATTAGCTCCATTTAATATCAACCCTAATTTACTAAACAGCTATGCTTTCCAAAAGTTGTTGATGGATCCAAATAGTTACATGTCGGCAGCCGCAGCGGCAACTAATCCCAGTCAATCTTCCTCAAGTTCCCGTAATAATAACAGTGTCTCAACTTCATCGACCGCAACATCTTCCACCAGTTCAGCTGCCAATGCATCGCAAATGCTTTTCCCATACCCTGGACTTTCAAACATGGGACTAACGAGTTCATTACTTGGTCTTTCCGGTCTCAATTTCCCTGGTTTGGGATCTGGTTTCAATCCGATGTCCATTGGTGACTTTGGGGGAAATGAAGGTAAAAAGACGGACCGAGGATCGAGCAGTCAAGAGAAGGGTAAAAGTGGCGGTGGCTCCGAGAAATCAAGTAGCAGTCATAAAAGTAGTAAAAGCTCAAGTTCCAAAAATCAGAATCAGAACCAAAGTCAGAGCCAAAATCCGAATGCAAACTTGGGACTAAATCCGAGTTTGAATTTGAATGATTTATCCAATGCGTATCGATCATTTCCCTACCTCTTTCCATATTACAATTCCCTCGGACTCGGGAACATCCCAATGAGTTCCCCTCATTTCGCATCTTTAGCGGCGCAATCAGGACTTATGAACGGATTAGGTAACATGCCAGGATTAGGCACAACCGCATCTACCTCAACAACAACAACATCTGCTTCAACCTCTTCATCACATGCTTCCAAAAGCGGGATATCCTCTTCTTCCGGCCACTCCAGATCTAAAAACAGTTCAAACTCATCAGCCAATGTAAAAGCACCTTCATCGTCGTCATCCAAACACTCAAAAGCTTCTGCATCACCCTCGTTGTCCATGAAGAGTCCACCTCCTCCCACTTTACCCACTGCATCCACTTCATCATCCAGCATATCAACACCTAATGTGCCCACCGGCGGATCGTCAATGGCTCCCTCCATGAGCGGAGTCTCGGGTCTCGGAGACTCTGATGACGAAAGTCTGAAATCTCTGATGGGACAAGAAGACGATGAAGATGATTTGAACGGTGAACTTGAAGATATGCATGAAAACCTTGACACTGACACCGACATGGACTCGGGAGCAGATCACGATGGTGCCAATAGAAGAGGGAAACAACGGCGGTCAACATCTTCGGCGTCGAGCATGAAATCACCACCGACTGTGAATAAAGGGAAAAAGTGAAAGCAAAAGCTTCCAGATATTTGATTAGATTAACAAACGGAGGTGATAATTTGTAAACAAAATCTGTGATAATTTTCATTGTGAGCAACAAATGCTTTTTTTATCGACTCTCTGATCATCATGATTACCATTGAAGGCGAATTCAGCATTTAAAAGGCTGGACAATATCTTAATCTCCTCACGACAACTTTAACTTGTTTAACAATTAACTAATTGCTAGTGAACTCGAATATTATTATTATTACTTGGGTAAACAACCAGAGCTGCTCAAAAACCAAAATCAACTTAATCATCGTTTATCTTTGCCCTTTCCTCTTGTTCATAACAATTTTTATCTTAGTGTTTCAGGATCGACCATTTGATTGCATCTCTTAACCATAACACATCCCAACCTGTAATCTCATTCATATTTAAATCATCTGTTATATTGGACATTTGCGAAATAATCTAAAGCAAAAGAAACGAAAGATAGATAATGTTTCATTTGTACAGTCTTTTTGCTAAGAAAAGATGAAAAATTGATTCTTTCAAACCTTTTTGCCTAATTATGTTAAATTCAATTCTACTGAAAGTTCTTAACTCGACCTTTTTTAAGTTGTAACATTATCTCCACTTCGATCATCGCTGCTGTTGTAAATCGCTCTCTCACCACATGATCATAATCATAATCATCCTCATCATTTCCTCTTCCTCTCTGCCCTCTTCTTATTACTCTCCAAAAGCATGACACCATTATTATTATATTCTGACCATCCAATATCAAATTTAATGAACATCGGACATTAATGATGTGTTGATCAATTGTTAGATTGAAGATAAGGACCAATCGTCAACTAATCCAATTGTTAACTAACATTATGTCTCGATCAGCATCTTCATCCTCATATTTATCATCCTCATTATCATGGAAAAATATTCTCATTTGCATAATCATCTGTCATTTCTCATTTTATCCAGTATCACCACCACCATCATCATCACCATCATCATCATCCTCATCCTCATCATCATTTTCATCGACAACAACATCAACATCTTTAGAACCCAAAAAGCAACAATTGAAAAGCCCCAATTTACCATTTGCTGGACATTTTTATTTCTTCCCTCACCTCGAACCTTTTCTATTGCCGTGTTTAATTAATTATCTCTGATTGATATATAATATTGCTTGTTTTTTTCTTCTTTCTTTTATTTCCATCCCTTTGTCTGCGTTCAACTGACGCAAACAAAAAGATGCGGCAAATGATCGGCAATAATCCTTGTCCATCCCAAGAATCAATGATAATTTGTCCAACTGTCCCCGTCCCAATCCACCAGCAATTGATGTATAAATACAAATCTCTTGACCACTTCTACCAAGAAAAACAATGTTCCATTGGGCCTAATGTATTTCATAACAACAACTAAAAGAAAACAAAAATGACGCAACAACAATAAGAAGACATGAAAAAAGAAAAAGAAACTGTCACAATCTCCAATCATCATCTTTAATCAACTACCACACCCACTGTCAAATTTTCTCATCCCCTTAATCCCCTTGTAAATCCCGTGACTATAAACTGAAAATAAAACTTGCACTTAGTGTTTAAAAAGAAGACGAAGTTCAATTCATTAAATATGAACAACTAATTGTTCACCGTAAACTGATTAAATGTTCACACGAATAGACACATTTAGATTAGTTAATTATTTCGGTAAATAATTAAAATGAATTTTAATTGCAAGAAAAATTTTGATTCAATTAATGATATCGAATGGGAGATTTTCTTTCAGAAAGAAAATCAATTAATCACAATAATAGAATTGAAATGAAATTGTGTCGTCGATTGAGAAAGTTTGTGAGAGAGAGAGAGAGAGTTAATTGTTCTGTAATTTATATGAGTGTAAATCGTGTAAATTTGCAAATTGTGAGATAATTAATTATCTCTAATGAGTAAATAAATTAAATTGTATGTTGGCTGTTTGATTGAATTTCTTTGGTGTTGAAAAGTTTGTTTTTTCTTGAGTTCTAGTTAATTGTTTGGTTTAATTATTTGCGTTTGGAAGCAAATTCGTGAAGTATTTCCCTCGCCATTTCGAGATTATTTTTCGCGATTCCAAGCGCTCGAATGACCGATTGGTTCGAATAACCTTCGCTGGTCAGTATTGCGATATAGTCCATTTGTAGATTCTCATAACTCGCTCGAGCTTCGTTCTCCTTGTTTTCTGATAAACTAATTCCAAGTGGGTATTTGGCAGAAGTTGATTTGGACCTAGAGAAAAGTTTTCCAAGAGAAAAACAGAATTAGAAAAACAAATTGTCAACAATTAGAATTGATCATTTTACTTTTTAACTGAATGTGTTAATGATGTTGTTGCATTCGTAAGTGATGAGGATGAAGATGAAGGTGTAATCGAGTGTAAATTAGTCACACTCGAAGATGATGTCGATGTTAATGATTGAACTCGAAGTAAATCTTTGGAGGTCCTTTCGTTTGTTCCTGTTAAATTAATCAGAGAAAAGCAAATGATTAGTTGATTGTGTTTCCATTTGAACAATTACAATTTACCTCTAAAACCAGTGTTAGCATAATTTGGTTCATCGGTTGTGGTTAAATTAACTGGAAGATCATCACATTTAACTGATGTTGTTGGTACTGAAGATGAGGATGATGATAATGATGAAGATGATGACTGATTTGCTAATGATTTAGAGATCAATGGAGTTAAATCAAATAAATTGATTTCTGATGTTGATTGTGTTGGATTATTGTGTTGCTGTTGTAATTGTTGTTGTAATTGAATTGAATGATTAGATGTTAATCTATGAAGGTGAGGGTGATGATGATCATCGTGTAAATTGTTGAATAGATTTTTAGAATTGGCAGAATTTGAATTGATTAGTGATTGTTGTAAATTAATTGCTGACGATGATGAAGATGTTGTTGGTTTAGGTGATTTAACCCGATCAATTAAAGGACCAACTGGACTAATTGAAGTAGTTGATTGATTGCTAGAAGTTGATTCATCGAGATTAAGTAAAAGTTTTGATGATGATAAAGATGATGATTGTTGTCCAGTAGATGATAAATTAAATCTCGTTAAATTGTTGTTAGTTGACGAAATTGTTGTTGACATTGATCCAGTAATTGGACTTATAAGTGGACCCAATATTGATCCTCCGGTCAAACCAAGAGTTGAAGGTGATGCAGTTGAGGGCAGGGAAGATGCGGATGATACGGATGAAGATGAGGATGATAAGGAAGATGATGATGAAGGTAAACAGGTTGTTGGTCTACCAGGGGATCGATATTGACCTTCTCCTTGATGATGGAGTTTATTTGATTTACTGTTATTTCGGGAAAGTGGATTGGGTAAAGTTGATTCTGTTCTGAGTGAAATTAAATTGCCAGTTAAAGTGGAGGCGGAGGTTGAGGCTGAGGTGGTGGTTGAAGTTGAGGTACATGAAGAAGAGGAAGAAATTGATGAGGAAATGTTATTTCCGCTTCCATTTGATAAAAGTATTAAATTGGAATCAATTAGATTTCCAGTTAATGATGATGACGATGAGCCAATATTGTTAACCTGTTGTTTACCGGAACCGGATAAGTTACTTGAAATTAAAGGTGATGATTGAGATAAAAGTAGTAATGAAGAGTTGATTGTTGTTGATGATGAGGATTTTTGGGTTGAATTTGATGTTAGATTGAGATGATTATGATGATGATGTAAAGGCGATGATGTTGGTGATTGACTAGGAGTATTTGTTGGTGAGATACGTCGAGGTGGGATTGGTGGTGGAATCGATGATGAGCCAGAAGCCATTGTTGTTAATTGTGCTCCTTGGGATGAAGATGAAGAGGTGGAAGATGAAGTTGCTGTTATCAATGGGGAATCACCGGTTGGTGTTGACAATTGATTCGTTAGGCTACAAGCGATTAAAAGAGGACTCATATCAGCTGGTTTACGACGGTGAGTCTTTGGCGATTCTGATGGCGAATTGATTGGCGATCGATCGGCCTGGAACAATTAACAGAACAAACAAATTAATACAAAAAAAATTCGCAAATTCGACCAACAATTTATAAGATATTTTCTCTCGCTTTATTTGTTTAAGTAAATTGCCCTAATTGTTGATTCTTAATAAATTACTCATCAAATTAATAAACAATCAATCAATCAACGATTAAATTACTCACTTTATTGGTTTTTTCATTTAATCGGTTACAAGGCTCAGAAAGTGTTTGTAATGATGAAATCCAAGCATTCGGATCCTTTAATTGTTGAGAAAATAGAAAAGTATTTCATTTAATTGTAGATAATTAGAGAGAACAATTAAAAAGGGTTAATCATGGTTTTTTTAATCAACTATAATTAAGGCAAATTTTAATAAACCAAAACTGCCAAAAGCATAAATCATCATCTCATCATCAACATGAAACTATTAATTATTATTATTGTATTTAAATTGATCTTGTAATCAGCTAGAATTTAAATTATTAATGTTATTATCATAATCATCTGGATGATGTAATTAACTGAGGAAAACAATCAAATATAATTAAAATGATAGGTTGGTCAATTATAAGAAAATTATTATTCCTATGGACAGAGACAAAAGTTTGATTAAAATATAATCGTAAGGTAATAATTAACTAAAACACTATGTGGCCATTACAATTAACTACTTTGTCAAACAATTTACTCGTCAACTAACCAGATAATTAAACATAGAGACACAAATACACATAATCGATGAGAATACAAGTTAATCAGGTTAATTAGTGGGAGAGAAAAAAAAAAGATTTGTTAATTTTCCAGGTCAATAATGATTCTGTTTAACTGATCAACAAATTATTGGAGTTTGCTAAAAATAGACAACATTTAACGACTATAATAATAATTATAACTAAATTAACTTTAAATTGTGAGTTTGCTTTTAATTGTTTATCAACTAGAAGCCAAAGTCTCTCAATGATTTAAAAATAAGTAAAAATTGGAGAGAAACAAGCAAATAGTAAATAAGTGATGCAACAATTGATTAAACAACAACAATTAAATTGGAAAATTGCAAGTGGGAGAAAGAGGAAAATGATTATCACAATCAAAGATTATATAATAGGAGTACAATTAAGAGATGAAACAAATGTGAAATAATTAGTTGATTATATTTCAATGTTTGTTGTTGAAAGAATTGAGTTGATTTTAATCAACGATAAATATTAACTCATGATTTAGTTTGTCATTCGTGTTTAATTGTTGTTTTAATTTGTTGCTGATTTAATAGGCGGTGGTGGGAAAGTGACTACATGTTTCATTCATATTTAATCATTGCAATTAACGGGGAATTTACTTTATTAGTATTGTAAATGTAAAGATATAATAGAGTTGACTTATTAATGTAATATTTATATTCTTGTTTTGGATCTCATAAGTTTCAACTTATTCAATTATTACAATTATTGCATAAATCAAGAGGATGAGGATGAGGAGGTGATGGTGATGAGGGCTGAGGAAAAGGATGGAGATGAAGATGGAGATGGAGATGGAGATGGAGATGGAGATGGAGATGGAGATGGAGATGGGTGTCAAGAGATGGTGTATTTTTTGTTACAAAGGCACCAGACAAACAAACAATTCAAACAAACAAAAAACAGGCACAGTTGATTCAACAAGCTTTTCATATAAATAATATAGATTGATAGAGAGGAAAAGGAAGAGAGCAATTTATGAGTTTATAATTAAATAAATGATGAAGTTGTTGTTGTTGGTGGCGGTGATGATGATGATTGTGTGGCTTTGTGTAAATTGCCTTTAAAAATTAGATATATTGAGTCTCCAAAACAAAATTTTTGTTCTTGACCAAGCAAAGAGATTTTGACAATTCGGTGGTAACTTTACAATTTAGTTTATCAAGCAAAGATGAGAGAGAGATGATTATAACATTATCAAGAATTTATACTAATACGAATTGCAAAGAGCCTACTGACAATTCTAGGATGTGATCATGAGGATTTGAGGGCAAAAGGATAGGAAATTTGATAATTTTTCTTATGATTCTCTTTCTTATTGAGAAAAGATGAATAAATTTCATCGGGAGAGTTTGATGTAACTTTTGAGGTGAGAAAAAAATGAGTGAGCTGATATTTGGTTGATGATTAGGTCAAGATAATTTTTCTATGTCCAGTGAGATAGATCCAATGGTTTATAATAAAGTCTGAGATGTGTGAATGGGAAAGACAGAGAGATGGAGAGAGAGAGAGATGCAAAATGTTGAAAGAGCCATGGGTCAGTTCAATAGAGGAATAGAGGAGAGAGTGAGAGTGAGTTGATTAAGTGTAATTTTTGCATGAACAAAAAGGACAACAAGCGATTGTGGCAATTGGAAAGCGGCAACAATTAGCAGCGGTGGTTATTCAATAGCAGCACCATATAAATTTTGTAATCATTATGAGTGTTTGTGTGTGTGTATCTGGTTGTAATTATCACAATAATCAATCAATAGTAATGATACTTATAGTTAATGATTATCATTAACAACAAATAATAGAATGTTAAATGTGGTCAGGTCAAAATTTTCTCTCTTTCATTTTCTTTTCTCTTTTTTTATCAATAAGATTTCATGGGTTTTGAGTAGCATGAGATTTTACGATTTACCATTCCGTCCTTAAATTTATAAACAATCGGGAGGCGCACACAGGAAGACAATCATGATGATGATGATGATGATGATGATGATCAAGATGATGCAGGAATAAAAGCAATACAATTACAACCAGAGATTGAACATATTAAAATAATTGGGAAAGAGAAGAAAAAAAAAGAGAAAAAAAATAAAATAAAATCATAAAATAATCTAAAGAAGCCAAAGATGAATGAAAAAAAAGTAATCATAAAATAGTAAATAATAAAATCATATTATGTATACACACTCATGTTTTTGCACACTAAAGGGTGGGGCAAGTGATTGATGCATTTAGTTATTAATGGGGAGTGGGATCAATTTACAGGTAAAAAAATAATATCATGTTATTATCATGGTGATGTTAATTTCAGTTGATTCTTTTGTTTCTTTTCACCATGAACACAATCAAATGCTAATGCACTTTCTTGATTTGTTATTTTCTCATCTCAGATTAGAAATATAATTCAAGTTATGGGGATTAAGAGTTTAGATTAATCATTCAATTGATTAGTTAAGGTTGCTTTTGTTAATTGTTTTGATGGTTAACAGTCGTACAGATTAAATTTATGTGAGTGTGTCAATGTGAATTAGATTAAAGGTTAAATGGTTTTAAGGAAGACAATTTAAATTGTATTGTTTTCTTTTTTTTTCCTGATCCTTAATTGTGATGTTAAGATTTTAATTTCTTCATTATTCCAATTATCCTTTAATGATTAAGGTATTAATTGCTTACCTCAAAGTTTTCATCTTCTTCAATATCAACTAGATTTTGATCACGGGCGGATTCCTTGGAGGCTGATCGAGGATTAGGATCAAATGGATCAACCACAATAAGCTCAGTTCCTTTAATTTCAGCTCGACAGAATGGACATCCTTGTCCCTCAGAATCCTGAAGAAATCAAGGTTAACAATTAAATTAAATTTAGTAACAGAAGAAGAAGAAGAAAACAAAACTTATCAAAGTGTAAAGTTATCAAAATCTATCCAAATGGTTAACATTAGGATAAGGTTAATGGATTTCCTTGAATAATACATGTCAATGATCATTACTAAACAATATTTAAGCTACAATTAAAATTGATTGTTCCATCAAATTATCATTATATTGCTACTAACATGATTGTTACAAGGTAGAAAGAAAATGTCAATTGAAATATTAGCAAATTGATGGAAGGAAAAAAAGTGAAATGTTGATTCCCTCACACTCTAATTGCTCATTGAGATTCAGTGAAAGGTAAATAATCAGTTGTAGTAGTTAGAAAATATTAATGAGTTGAATTTTGACAACATTATAATTGAATTAGTTACATTCAATCATCATCATCATCACTGTGGTGTAACAATTTAACCAGTAAATTAAAAGCTCATAGAGATTGTGCTCATCTCATTGATTGTGAATAATTAAGGGACAAAGAAAGTTACATGTTTCACTTTTTTTCCGACTACAATTAACTCTCTCAACCAAATAGATTCGCTATATCATTGATAACTCTCTCTATCTTTTTGTGGCGAAATTTTTACCTGCCAGGATGTTAGACAAGGTGTACACAATAAATGGCCACAAGGTTCTATCCGAATGTCCTTGTTATTTTCAGCGCAAATTTTACACAATTGAAAAGTTGATCCCATTTCACAATAGAGTTCATATTGTTCCTGAGTAACTCGGATGTGATCTTCCGGAGTGGCTTGAACGGCCCAACTTAAATCAGGATTAACGTTCCTACCATCAGGATAAAGGTAACTGTAAACATAAAAGGTAATCAACAATTAGTTGAATTAATAAAATCAAACACGATAAACAATATGAAAAATATAAAAAACCATCATCACAATGAAGATATGAAAATTCAACCAACATTATTTTGCAGAATCAAAGTTTTGTATACAAATTGATTTCCGTTAAAATTATGTCACAATTAAAAGTCTTATGCTAATTTATCTTGATTCTAATTTACCTTTTCTGTTAATCAATATTATCACCATATAGTAATAATGATTGTTGTTGCTTAATCATCAAAAAGATCAGTTAAAATTTCAAGGTTTCTCCATATTATCAAAGCTACAACATTATTCTGAATGTAAATCCTACTCATTCAGTCAACAATAAAAAAGCTCAACTTGATGACCATGGAAATGTTAGTCATAAGATAAAATTGGAATTGTTTTCTACTCGATTTAATTGTTTTTTAGTAATTAACAATTCGTTGTTATTTCATGGTGATGGTGATTATAATTAAGACTTACAATCCTTCTCGATAGCCGTCTAGTAATGCTTGACAAAGTGACTTATTCTGAGGAATGGTTTGTAATATGTTTCCCTCCGGTGTTACATATCCAATGGCCCATTGTCCCAATCGAGTACAACTGAGCCGAAAAACGTAACTGTAATAAAAATGGGGAAAAAATCAGTTAAATATAAGAAAACATTTGAAAATTGATTGATTGTCACAAAAAGTTATCATAACCTTGATAAGTGCATAAAACTTTATTGTAAATTGTTCACACTGATTCAAAATATAAGAGCAGATGAATAAACATCTATTAGCTAAATTAGATTGTTGAAAATGAACAATTTACTTGATTAATAAAAAGTGTAAAGAGAAAACAAGAAATTCTGGCAAATTGAATTTTTCATGGTAAAGAGCATGAGAGAGAGAGAGAGAGAGAGAGAAAGCTAAATCGTTATCATGAATTCAAGAGGTAAATTGAATTAATTAATCACACGAAACAAAATGATGATATTTAATTTTCAATAGCCTAAGGCAGGTCAAGGTTAATGATCAGTGATAATTATAGTAATTGTATAATCAACTAATGTAAATAATTACAAAGTTTTCATACTAATAGTTAAATTATGGTGATCATCATGACGAGGGGTGGGGTGGGGTAAAAGTTAATTGAATAATAAATAAATGGTGAAACTGTTTGCAAAAAAAAGCGTCACCGGAAGGAGGAAGAGTGAGTGAGTAAGTGAGAGCAAAGAGGATGGAGAGTGATCATCAAGATGATGAGGATGATGATGATGATGCTTACCTCCCGGGTTTGTTGATGTATTTTTGAAGTCGGGCCTTGACTTCATCGTAGGTTAAAAAAGCAACATATCCAGGATGGGTGACAGCTAAGATTTGCCAATTGCGAAGAAGAGTCGACCAAGGTTGAAATAATCTGTTAATTGTTACAAAAGGAAACAAACTCAATTAATCTCTTGAATATGAATATCTCTTCAATTGTAAATCTACCTGGTGAACACATCAAATTCAAAATTAGATATGTAGTCATTGCAAGTTAAATCGATGGTTGATTTAAGAGCCATAGCCTCTAATCCTGAACCAATCGGATGCTCTTGGTGTAAAGTTTGACGGAAAATCCTCCATGGGACAATTGTCCTAAATATTAGGGAAAGAAACAAAGTAATAAATTACAATTAAATAAATAGAAACAATTAGTATAAGGCCTTAATTTACACGAATATCTATCATTATATTTTCTGTTCTCAATGTAAAAACAAGACATCATCGATATAGAGAAATCTTAACAGTTGAGAAAGAGCAAAAAAAACTTAAAAGATGAGGAAAAAGGATGAGGATGAAGATGCTGAGGCTAATTATCTTAGAATGATTATTTGTTTAACAACTGTAACTCTTTTACTTTCTATGGTAAAAACAGATACCAGAGAAAAAAAATATTCGAAAAAATCGGTTTGTTCTTATTACAGAGAGAGAGAGAGAGAGAGTGAGAAGGTATTAACAAGAATATCGCCGGAAATAAGCACTCTATGATATCCAAAGGCTCCCTAATGTCTTAAGAAAAGAGGATGTTGATACAGAAGAAAAGAAAGATGAGAGAGAACGAGAGAGAAGACAAATATGGGAGAAATATCTTTGAAAGATTTAAATAATATGTACGTTAAAATGTCAATGAGAAAATGAGAAGCAAATAAGATACGGAAATGTGATAAAAAAAGACGAAGAGAGAGAGAGAGAGAGAAAGTGTGAAAATTGTAAGATGAAAAGTGGGAGGCAGTAGAGTGAGTAAGTGAGAGAGCAAAGATCAACGGAAGTGAAAAAATGTCTAAATGGTAAAAATTGTAAAAAAAAGTAATTAAGATAACATTGAATGGAGAGATAAATTGTTGATCAATGAAAACAAATCCTCTTGAGGGATTAAGGTATGTAAAACTTTTGATTGCTAGATTAGTTTCTGATTAGAGTATCGGTAATGACGTTTGTTAATCAGTTTGACCGTTGATTGTTGCTGTTTGACCGGATAAACATTGATTGTGAAAGAGATGATTATGATTGTGATCGGGATGGAGGTGAAAGTAATCAATGTGTTACGCTATTAAAAAGGTAAATTAGTTGGGATGTTGTTGATTTTTCGGTAAACCTTTTCAATGGTTGTTATTATCATTCTAATTGTTAATTGTGAATTTATTGGTAAACCTGAATAATCATGATAATCATCAGTGAAAGTGAGGTAACAATTATTTATGAATAATTGATTGTCAAAATCAAAATCAATCAAGGAAATTAATTAATTAAAATTGAATAATCATCGATAGTTGAATAATGTAAATTAATTAAGCTAATTGAACTAATTCGTATTGATTGTTGATATAATGTAATTAAATTGTAAATAAATAATTTAATGGAGATTTTGATTAATTAGACAAAATCAATTTTTTTTCTTCAAATTAAATTAAATATTTACCCACCATGTAAATGAGTTTTGATTGCTGATAATTAACGGATTGATTTAAATATCATACGAACAATTAGGAAAAACAATGGAGCGAGAAATAAGATAATCATTATAAATTGAGGTAATTAACAATTGTAAAGTGAAATGTGATTACCAGTGCGAGTAAATTAATTAGTAAATGGAACAACAATTAAATTATCGAGAAGTGATTTGATTAATTTCAATGATAATAATCAACTTTTACTGTCAATTGATAATGAAAGTTAATTTTCTAGGACATTGTCATTAACAGTAGAGTAAAAATGAAAAGAAAACGTTAATTGTGAGTAATTAAACTTGATTTCAGGTTTAATTATCAAATCAAATCAATTGAAACGGTCAAATTGTAAGGTATATTAGAGATAATTGTAACTATCATCAATCAACAAATTATGATTAATCAAAATCTCTCATTGATGACACAGATAAAATGATTTGATTTCTTTTCATTTTTTTTTTCGCAACTCTTTCCAACTCCTACTTTTTCCTCCTCCATCATCTTAACTATCCAATGATGATGATGATGATGACGATCATGTTGATATTGATGATTAAAGTGATGAGAGAAAATGAGATCGAATGATGATCTTTCAATCATCAATGTCAATTATTACGTTTGTATATAAACATTTCTCGTTTTTTTTTCTCTTCCTTCAAAAAACTTTGAGACTCTATTTTTTCAACCAAAGATTAACATCTCAAGGTTTTAACTGTCAGATTTAATTGTTACCTTTGCAGAAAAAATAATATCTAATGTGTATAAAGAGTAAAAGATTAAATTTCTCAAGAAAAAAAAACTAACAATTAGTGATCAATAGTAATCATGAAATGTTTAACCCTGTTTTTGATTTTTCTCATGTTAAACCAGCTCATCATCACCATGGTAAACCAGAAGAGCAATGAATGAATAGTAGAGAGAGATGATGATGATGATGATGGGGAGGAGGAAGTAATTGATGACAAATCAATAGAATGGACCGTTGGCTGATGAGAAAAACTTAATATCTTTTTTTGATTGGGTTTAAATCAACGTATTAGTGTAACTGGTTAATCTAAAGAGGTTAAATGAGATTAAGACAGTAAGAGATAAATAGGAAAATAAAAAAAAATCAAGAACGTGGTTTAAAACTTATTATTATGATTTGTCTTATTGTTCAAGATCTTTCAAACGAAACAAGGACGATTAATTTACTCTTATTATTATTGAAGTTATATTGTTGATGATGAAAAATTTTCAACGATTTACTGATAACTATCATGTCTCATATAAATGATATACTAATAGATGATCAATTGTCAATAATTGGATGATTATTATTAAAATGATTAGTTTTCGATTGGTCTCTTACCTATCACCGAAATGATTTTTCCAAAATTCAGCAGCATCTGATTTGGTTATTCGATAAGTTGACCCGGCGAAAACTCCATCGGGAAAGATTGTCTTTAATTCAGATAACATGTGACTAAATACTAAACTTTGTTTAGTTAAATTTCGACGACAAGGTCCAGTTTCGTCGTACATTTTTTCCTTTCCTTCTTTGAAAAGACGAATGGTTTCTTTGCACTTCTTATTAAGATTATCAATGTATACACGAAAATATTCATTCTCATTAAGATAGTTCATCCGATCCTCATATTTATTATAAATTAACCTAAGATGTTGGTAAGTGTCTGTAGATGGCAAAGAAAGAGAGAGAGAGAGAGAAGATAAATAAAGTATTAAGAGTAATCAAATCAATGTAATAATGGAAATTAAAAAAAAAGCTAAATTGGGTAAGAGAAATGTTAATTAGTAGTAAAAGAGGAAACATGAAACCAACATGAATGGAATGATGATGATGATGGTGATGAAATAGGACACAGAACACAAAATTCATGGGAAAATGATGAGATGAACAGAGGAATAATAATGAGATTCATTGATTAGAGAGCAAAAAATAGGAATGAGAGAAAATAACTGATAGATTTAAGAGAAAATGTTTACACAATTGTGAAATGATTGGAATTATTTTCTCAATTCTTTTTTTTTTCATCTCTTGTTTTAAAATGAAAATGAATCACAAGAGAATATGATAGATACCTGGAAGTATGTCCAATATAAATGGAGGTGAATTTTTGAGAATAATTTTCGGATTATTACACAATTTTACAACCTTGTTCATTAATTTCCATGTTTTCTCAACGGTTCTTTTGTCTATAACCAATTTGGGTGATGGTGAAATAGCCTCCGAAAAGGCTCCCTGAATTTTATTCAGTAGTGAGGTTATACCAGGCATTCCATGGACAGAGTAATTGGTTGTCTTTAAACTTGTCTCAGTCGAACCAACGTTTCCTCCGGTTGACAGGGAAGTTGAACTGTTGTTACCTATGTTGATTGCCGTGTTGATTGATGTTAAATTAACGCTTGTTGTTGGAACAATTGAAAAATTTGATCCACTAGCAACTGATCCACTATTAATATTACTTATACTGGTTGTAGTTATTGAAGATGATGATGAAGAAGATGCTGAGGATGATGATGATGATGTTAATATTGATGTGGAAGAGGCAGTAGATATTAATGAGTGTTGGGATGTTGTTGGTTGTATATGATTACTGTTGTTATTGTTGTTTATATTCAAACCAATTGTTGAGAGTAATGGGTTAATAATTGAAGAAGATGATGATGATGTTGATGGAGAAAAGGAAGAAAAAGAAGAGGAGGAGAAGATAGGGTGAGATGTTGATGTTGTTGTTGTTGTTGAAGTAGAAATAGTGGTTGAAGAAGATGAAGAGAACTGATTATTTTGATGGTGATTAGAATTTGGAAAAGGAAGATTTGATGTAGATGATGGACTAATTGAAGTTGAATGAGTATTGGTTAATCCAAATTGATTTGATTGGTGTCCACCAGATAACATAATTGTCAACTGATCATTGAATTAAATCAGTGAAATTAATGAAATCAAGTCTATAATTTTGTTTCATTCGTTTAAATCTCATCTCCGCCAGATGGCGACTTTTAATTAGAATTTTAAACCGAATAAGTGGCGACATCTCGTGTTTTTCGTAATAATTTTTATTTAATCAGATGTTTTTTTTTAATTTTCTTGTTGATTTTTTGGTTTAACTGTTAATTAAAAGATAAATAAATGACGACAATTAAATTTGTTAACCGACATTGTAATTATTTTTTCAAATTACGTATACTGACAATGCATCCATGTCATCAACATAATCAAATTGTCGGTCTAAAACAATTGGTCAACTGTTATAATAAAAACGGTGGTCGGTTAATTTGTTTTCCTGTTGAAAGTGATTCTATTGAAGTGATTAAAGATCCTAAATCTTTTCATAATAAATTAAAGGTAAATTGTTATTAATTATTGTGTTGAAGAATTTAAAAATTATTCTAATTTCTCTTTTATTCTATTTGTAGAGATCAATTAATTCTAGTTCAAAGAGAATTGTTTTGTCTTCTCTTTACCTTGGAACTGGTCGTTTGGAGAAAGAGTTGATTAATATTCTTAAGAAAAGATTACAGTTGATTAGTGATTTACGTGTTAATATTTTGGTTGATTATAATCGAGGACAAAGATTAAATCAACATGATGATCCAAAATCTTCTAGTAAAGGTTTACTTCAAGATTTGGTTAATCGGGCAAACATTTATTTCTTCCTGTCACCGGCATTTTGTTCATATTTTCATCGACATTTAACTTTACCTTTACAATTTGTTAATGAATGTATTTCATTGCAACACATTAAGTGTTACATTTTTGATGATAATTTAATCATCTCTGGTGCCAATTTAAGTGCTGACTATTTTACTAATCGTCAAGATCGTTATATTTATGTACATAATTGTCCAGAACTTTGTAATTACCTGGAATCTGTTGTTAACCTGATTGGAAGAGTTGGTTTTAAATTGACTGTTAATGGTCAATTAACTACCGATTCAAGTGATTCTTTTAATCCATTTGATAGAGAAAAGTTTATCAAAACATTTAAAGATAATTTAACTCAAATTCAGTCAAAGTATTTAAAGTTAGATGAATTTTCAGTTACTAAAGTTTCCGGAGAAACTTTGATTGTTCCTACAATTCAAATGAAATATCTCCAAGTTACCGAAGATTTTGATCTAACCTCAACTCTTTTCAATTTGGCTCGTCATTCATCTCGAGTTAATCATCTGGTTAGTGGATATTTTAATCTAACAAAGGATTATATTGATCATTTAACCCAATTAAATGTATCCACTCGTCTTAATGTCTTAGCAGCATCAGAGGAAGTTAATGGTTTCTACAAAGCGAATGGATTTAAATATTTGATTCCAAAAATTTACACCGACAAATCGAAACATTTTCTCGAGATAATCAAACAAACATCGGCCAATATTCAATTCTACACATATTCCAGACCGAATTGGACCTTTCATGCCAAAGGATTTTGGACTTACCTAGATGACGATTCTTATGTTACCTCAATTGGTTCATCTAATTACGGTTATCGTTCAGTTGAAAGAGATCTGGAGATGCAATTTCTAATTGTCACCAAAGATTCAACTTTAATTGATAAATTAGAAAAGGAAAGGAAACAATTATGGAAATTTGCTTCTCCCATTTTAGATCATAACAATTTACCACCAATCTCATTAGGAACTAAATTAATCTCTTCCATATTTGGTAGCTATTTTTGATCAGTTGTTAATAATTAACATCAACAAATTATCTCGTAATAGTTATTAATTTGTATCCTGTTTTAATTGTAACTTGTTAAATACTTTCTCTTTTTTTGATAGTCAGTTGATATTATGTGATCTCGATGAATAATTACCTTTGATTGTAACAATCAAGCAATAAATGGTTTACGTTCATCATAATAATCATCATCATCAGTTTCCATTGTTGTTGACACTTCATTGATTAATTTAGTCCGATTTTTAGCTGATTCCTTTTTCTGGTCTTTTAATTGTTGTAATTTATTCTGTAAATTTATCCTTTTCTTAATGAATTTAACTTTAGCATAATTAACACTCGCCGTTGAATAAATTTTTGATACTCGATAACAAAACGAAATCAATACAAATGACAAAATACCGATTATTATGATCACCATGATTAAATTATCTGATTGGAAGGTTAAATAATTGTTAAATAAGTTTTTAATCCACTCGATTGTTGGATCAGTCCAGAGATTTGATATTGGTGGAGGTTTAATAATATTATATTCATTTTCACCGCAACGATAATTACCAAAGTCCCGATATTCATTAACTTGAAAGATGATTAAATCTGGACCATCGATTAACATATAATCATTATTAACAATTAAAGATTTATTATCTTTAAACCATTCGATTGTAAGATCTTCAGAGAATTTACAATTAAACGTTAGCATATTAATTCAATTGTTAATTTAGAAACAGATTCTATTGGGATAATAATTAACTCTTTAGTTGCTTAAGTTTTATTTATCACAATTGGTTAGAAAATTAACTAATTTAAGGTCGAGAATTTCAATAAATTTGATAGCCGTTAACTTAAAAGAAAATCTAGTAATTATAATTCAATATCAAGCAATTAATGATCATCTAGTTAATAGTCAAACAATTAAATCTACTGGTTGATTAACGTTTAATCCCAAGGATAAGAAAAAGTTGATTGGTTATTTTTTACAAATTTTCTGTTAAAAATCAACAATAGTGTATGTTTACTTTGATCCATTAATTGATCGACAATTAAATGTTATTCACCCTTTTAATCAACAATTAATTGTAAAGAAATAGAAATAATTAAATGTTGTATTTCCCTCCATTCTTAAGCCCCGCCCTTTTTTCTCATTTCCCTCTTTCTTTTTTCTCTTTCTTTTTCTTTCTAAATTTGGTAAACATTTTAATCATCATCACATTAGAATTGGTTTTTAATTGTTGTTTCCCTTGATTAATTTATCTTTGTTATTTTTTGTTCTTCATTCTCTAATTTCAACTGTTTATCTACCTGCTCTGTTGTAGTATTAATTGATTCTATTGATTGTTCGGCCTATTTTCTTATTCCCTAGCAAAGGTCTCACTCTGTTTGGCTTTTTTTGTGTCTCTATAAATTAAACACTCAACATGACGAAAGGTGCAAGTAAAATTGAGGTTAAATCTATTCCGTTTACGGAGGAATCGTTTAAGATGTTCAAAAAAGCCATGAGGAATTCATGTACACCTAAAGCCCTGGAGGTATTTGATTTTGACTATGCCTTTAAATTAACCAAAAAGGCTAAAGTATCACCTTACGCCTTCATGTTATCGTTAATATACATTGAAAGAGCCCGACAACAGTCACCCGATTATTTTAGGAAAGTCTCACCTTGTGACCTTTTCCTGGTTTCATTGGTAAGTCTTTTGTTTTATCGTTCAAATGTTTCCATATAATATGATCATCATTCATGATCGTCTCTCTGTTTCCAATATTCATTTCCATCTTGTTTTCATTTACCTCTCTCTCTCTCTCTCTCTCTCTCTTACTCATTCAAGTTTTTCCTTTGTTTACTTCGTAATACGATAGTCCCATGAGTTTGTGTATCATGGGATTTCTCCGCTTTCATGAACAACTCTTTGTGTTTGTTTCTTTTCTTTCTTTCTTTGTTGCTCTTGTTCTTCCCTTCCCCTAACAACTCGTTCAAGTGTTACTTTATTATACATGAATTAATAATTCTTTTTTCTATTCTTCTATTTCTATGATACATGTAATATAATGGCTGATTCTTTGTTTATGTTTCTCAAGATGGCGGCATCCAAGGTATTAATTGATGAAGGAGAAGATGAAGAAATAAGAAATGACCGATGGGCCACCATTGCACAATTAAAATTACGTTATATCAATCAATTGGAACGTGAATTTCTATCAGCTATTGATTGGAATCTATTTGTTCATCAACAAGTTTTCTTTGAAACTTTGGTTAACATTATGATCACCGTTATTAGAAATGAATGTAGAAAACGCTGTTGGAACGGGTTAACGTATAATGAGATGCAAGTACTACTTGAATACGATGAGAAATTTAAACAAGTCTGTCTTATGGTTTACCAATATATGGTTAAAGTGATGCTGGTCTTTTCCTTAACATATTCAGCTATAATTCTGAGTGTTTTATCTGCTGATCAGAATACTTTAACAAAGTGATCAGTTCCTGTATCTTTCGTTCTCGTCCCGTTGTAATTTTGTCTCATGGATAAACCAAATTAACCATTTTGCTGTTTAACATTATTAACAAGCTATTTCCAGTAAATTGCTGAACCATTGGTCTTATGATTTCATTAAGGTAAGACTCGAGATATGTCCATCAGCTCAACTTAATTGTGTTTGTTTAAATTAGATTAGGTTATTATTAAGGGTCACTATTGACAAAGAAAGGCCCGGAGGGCCTGAGATAATCAAACTGCCAAACAATTGATATAATGTTAGCTGTCAACACCAAATCAACTCCATCTCCCACTAATAGCTTTTATTTCATTGTTAAATGTGGACCAACTTGTACCCGCTTATGCCCGTGAAGTGTCAAATAATCTTAGATTGTTGAATTAATTGTCAAGTTAATTAAATGAACTCATTTTCTTTAAAAGCCGCGAATTGTGAAACACAAAACAATCAACTAAAAGTATAAAAGTTGAGCTGATTGACATACATCTTGAGTCTTACCTCCTTACACTAGACATAAAAGATATTCGGTAATTAAAAGTTTAATCGGTTATGTGTTTTCACGCAACAAGAAAACAAAAACCAAGAGAAACCAAATTCAATCACCAAAAAGTAAATCATTCTAATTCTAGTTGGATATCCAAAGGAAAGAGAATGTGTGATTTGAACATCATCTAATTTGGTAATCATTAAAAAAGAGAAAACTAAAAAACAACAAATTCGGTTTGAAAAGTAAACCAGGTATCAACTCGTACAAATATCCGAGTATTTTGATACTTTAGGTTGAAACATTTGAGGACAACATTATCAATGAAAACACGAGTTAGTGATGGGCGATCATCGAATCTCTGATCGATCGAAAAGATTGATCGATCTTCGATGATGTTGTTTCCCATTGATTTTTAAAAAGAAAAAAATTTCGCGCCACCAAATGCGAAAGAGAATTATTGTTGTTACTGTTTCCCTTTCTTTTTTGTCTGTCTGCGACGATCGATCTTTTCCCAAAAGTGATCGATCAATTTGTGCTCCAAAAAGATCGATGGAGATCGAGTCATTTACTCGGTGCATCACTATGACTCTCTCGCCATGACTCTCTCGCCATGATGATGAAGGAGGAAATTAATTGAAATTAAATAATCGTGAATAAATAAATAATAAGTTCCTTGTCCTTTTACTATAAGTGTAACTTAATCCCCTGTGTTAACACGGTTACTCTCAATATACTCACTCATCTCTAAACCTTAGAAAAACAGAGTCAACCACACCCATTATTCATCATACCCCAACAACGGTTGATATCCCCTTGTTTATACCTTGGTCAGCAAACACTGGTTATGTCCTCCTTAGCTGTGGCAAATAAAGTTAAGGCTCCGATGGTGATACAACGCTCTATAATCATCGTCAAAATGAAACAAAAAAGCTCTTTTCGAATAAAATCACTCATAAAACAAAGAATTACCTTTGATAACGAAATGAAGCTTCTCTTTGGTCGTGAATGTGTCAAAATCCTTTTGAAAAAAGAATTCGTTCCAACAATATTTACACAGCTTGAAGCTCATAAAGACTGGACCATTGAGACACCATTACCTTATCTACCGATGATCAAATTTATTACCTTACTAGCTGACATCAACAAAGACAGATCAATCAAAACCCAACTGGAAGAAGAGAATGAGATAGAAGTTCACGAAATATTCAACATATACAAAGAGGACAACAAGATAGTAATAATCATAAAACTCAAATCATCTGATCTAGGAAGGTTAAAAAGCCTTGGAGGTACAATTAAACTTTACGACAGAGAATACAGCTTCACTGATTTCTTTAACATAAGAAGATGTCACATCTGTTTCAGTTATCTTCATTATAGCAACAATTGTAAGCAAGATATACACTGTGCAAAGTGTAGTGAACGTCATCACGAGAAACGTTGCAATAAAAAACATGAGAGATTCAGGTGGAGGTGCTCGTCCTGTTTCCTTTATGGTCACTCCGCCTATTTTTATTACTGTGAAAACTATCAACGACGATTAGCGAATTATCTTGAGAAAATGGAACACCGATATGATGAGATTATGGTGGAAGAACAACAACTGGTCTAGATATAAAAGCAAATCCTTTTGAATGAACTGTCAGTTATGAATTGTACCTAGTGAACTGTTGTTCTGAAACAAACATACTTTAAATTAAACTTCTCCTTAAGTCACTTGTACCTAACACATCGAATTAACGGCTTGTGATTAATTGTCCTTATTATTGATATTTATTATTGTGATTATTTGATTTATGATTTCTCTCTTATCATTCCTAATTCTGACTCCATCTTACAGCTACAAGTATATCAAGTGAGCTCTACTATCGTGTACACTGCCCCTCAAAATAAATGGCTCCAGCTAAAAAATCCAAGAAGACCAATGAAGTAACGGAAGAACCTGAAATTTTTGCCTCAGAGGATGAAATTGACGAGAATACAGTTATTAAGTACTTGGATGAGATCTGCAATGGACAGGATATAAAAGAATGCCATTCGATAATCCAGAGTAAACTGTCTCAAGAGGAGATTGACAATTTTGTGACTATATTACTCAACTCGAGCAGCACCAACAATGCTGAAAAGAAGAAGATCGACGAGTATCTGAACGTTATGATATCCCCACTTCAGAGGAAACAAAGTCAAAGAGAAAAGTTTGACAACAACACGACAATATCACAAGAAGGGAAAAAGAAACTAGAGCTCAACATCAGATACGACAACATTTGGAAAATTCCTGAATATTGGTTGAAAGTTGATGAACTAGAACTGAACCCGATTGTGATAATACAACCCGTTCAGCATTTAAACTCTACAACTCAATCACATGTAACTGGCCTGACCGTAAGAGACAATGTGAGAAAAATTATAACTGAATCAGAACAAAACTTTGACATAATTAATGCTGAAGCAACGAAATCTGCTTGCAAAATTACGGTTACAAATATTCAAAAAAGAGACATCTTCATCCAACTCTTTGAATCTGAACTTCAGAAAATCAACAAGGCATCTCTCTTCAAAGTACTCATACCAACGCTTTCCAATCCGGTGGTGTCTATGGATATTGGTCTGGAACAAAAAGTGGATGAGAATTGGATAGACAAGGTCAAAAAATGGAATAATTGGGATGATGAGATCAAATTATTATATAAAGAAGAGAGAAATAGGTTCACTCGAGTGAGTGTACAAATTACATCAAGAATTAGATCGACACTTGATGAACACAGATCGAGAGGCCTGATTAGCATAGGTTGGAAGAAAATCAAGATCTATGACAGTCTAGACTTCAATCTATGTTTTCAATGCTCGCGCTGGGGTCACAAGACCTCATTATGCAAATCCTTAATATGCTGTCCAATTTGCTCCAAACATCATAAGTTGAATGATTGTACAAATAAAGATGAAGTGAGACTACACAAATGTCAACCTTGTGGAGGCAGAACTGGTCACTCGGCCCTCAGTAGAGATTGTCCGGAATTTATAAGACAGATTAAGATGGCGCTCACCAGAGTCAATCACACGTACACTTTTCTCTTTCTTCGCCATCTTGAAAAGAAATAATCGTATGACTTATATGAGTCATAGAGGGAGCCATTAACTTATCATCATCGTCTCTCTATAAGAAGAACAACAAACAATATAGAAACCAGTTGCCAACCCAAAATTCTCCTACTACTCCTCTTTTTCTAAAATTTTTGACATTGAAAATTGTATCAAATTGACCAAAACATTAAAATTAATACAACAATAATTTATAATCTTGTGTACTCTTTTCACTTCTATAACTTAAGTTCTATTGTGTGATGTCAGCATCGTTGTTAAAGGCCTTTGGCTACAATGAAAGACGAATCAATCTCTCAACCCCAAAGGAATATATAATGAAAGCGGAAAAAGCTGGAATCGGAAAAGTAATGGTTCCTAATCATCTGGCTGAACGGATTGTCCCAAAGACAAGTCAAGTGATGGACTGGATAAGAGAACCTGGTCTAGCAGTGATCTACTTCTTCATCGAAAAAAATGCTGGTGTACATCCGGGGATCTTTAGTAAACTCTTGATGAAATACAATCAATGGGATGAATCGGAAATTAAAGGTATAAGGGTGACGGACTATACCATTGATTGCTATCGGGTTGAAATCAGATTACTGATGACAACCAGAAACGCCCTAGCCAAAAGAACTGGACTGTCCGTAAGGTTTCATGAGAAATCATATAGAGCCCTGGACATGGATGGCATCAATCGTGACAAATTACTATCGACAAATGATCTAAGCGTAGAGTTAAACAGATTGAGAAATAAAGAAGGTTTTGAGACCATAATCTGCTTCTCGGAAAAGAACTTGGAGATCATTCCGAAGCAGATTAGGAGGTTGATAAGAGAAGAGCAGATTAAAAAGGGTTATCTCTCTTCTCTTCGTCTTTCCCTCTCACTCGACTAATTAAGAAGATTAACATCAGGGGGCCGTCTTTAAGATTCACTCTTTAAGAAGATCGCAAACAGCATTAGTCTTGAGAAGAGAACTCATTCTCTAAATAATCTTCAATTCTCCCTGATTTTAATTTTTCATACCCTTTATCTTATCTTCTCCTTACCTTCTTCTTTAACTTATATATCTCAATTATCTACTGAAATCCTTCCTGACAGATAACTACAACGATTGTCTTTAAGTTGTTGTGCTAAATAATCAGTTGTTAAATAATTAGTGTCAAATCATTAACTGCCGCTGTGACTTGTGAAAATGGAATATGCTAATTCAATCTGTAGTGGTCGCCATGGCTTTAAAACTGGGAAACTTGGAAAGAGACTTGTATATGAAGTGGATGACTTTGTTCAGATCACTGAAATTAGATTGAAAAGTGACAATGCCCAATCGCTTGATATAATCGAGGAGAATATACAAGAATCAGAAGCCTTTCTTCTATATGTACCAACCACATTGAAGCGCTTTGGAAACTTTGTATCAGTTGATGTGTTCACAGAGAATAGATCAGACTTCAAACAAAGAATTCAATCTCTATGGTGGTGGCCTGATGATGCAAAGATGGAAATGGAGTCCGGT